AATAGGTCAACAGTGCATCTTGTTTGGACGCTTGTTTATATATGGGGAATCTCGTGCTTGTCTATATCGATTAAAAATCATACATTTTAATGTTCATTCGTGCGTCTAAACCACTAGATCGATTACAGTGATAATTTTGCACATAGTCGCTGAACCTTCCAAGCCAATAAAACAAATGATGACAGCACTCTGAACATAATGGAAATAACAATTTAACATTCAAAATCTATAAAAACGTTTTGCTGTTGCCTCAAGAGCATAAAAAATAATTTATGATATAGCCATTTTTGGACGTGATCACTAACAGTAAAGATATAAGCCATAAAATAAGTCCAATTTTGGTTTCAAAAGTGACGCAAGTAGGTCGAAAATTAAGCCAATACACTAAATCAACACTAATGACTATACACTCGCCAATATATTTTTTCGCACTATTCGAACCCCGGCCCCTCTAGCGATGTTTAGTATTATCAATGTCGTGGTATGTTTCAGCGTACGTCCATTCTACACGACCTAACGTCTGTACAAATTTTTACACACTACTTTTCGTTCAAAAAATAAAATTAAAGTAGGTACGTCTGAGTTGGTACCTCCGTGACTCCTGTCAGTTCTTTTCAAATTCACCAACGAAACCACGACACTATCTAGTATTCTTTACTAAGAAAAAAACATTACTAAACCAAAATGCCAACTCCATTAATTATTGAACTCATTTTTAAATTGAAAACTACTATTTCTTCACATATCAGATCATGACATTACATGAACTAAAATCGATTATAGATTAAAAGTACTCGAACCCGAATCCACAGCGATCCGAGCTGTTGCTCTATTCAATAGAGCTACCGTGCGCGTGTACCACGTGCAAAAGATGTGAGTATAATGTACAAGATACTCACAAAATATGAATGAAAAGAATGATTGGTCTTTAAATGATCTAAAAAATAAATACTGTCTATAGTTTACGCGAGTAGTACACGGTTTAAAACGCGATATATTAGTTAAACTTATTTGAAAATGACATCCTCCATCTTTAGTCTCCCCGTGACCACGGCTGCTGCAAAGCATCCGAAACGTCGGGCCGAAGTTAAAAATCATTTTCAAATAAGTTTAACTAAGATATCGCGTTTTAAACCGTTAAAGTGTTTTATTTAAAAGATCTAAAAAATATCCTTGACACTAAATGTCTAACTTTTAAGATTAACTTGGGTGCCGGCTTAAATTTATAAGTTGCAGAGGCCAGATTTGTAAAAATATTTTTTGCTTAAATAACTATTATACGCGGACGAAGTGAATGACACAGCCAGTAATTATTTAACTCTTACTGCTTACACGACTGTTGCTCATCATCTGAAATGAGTGTAGTTAAAGAAATGTTAACTTTTACTAAGATATATCACGTTAAAAGTAGTTTATTTAAATGCTCATTACGGTTGTAATTACCATAATAGTAAATAGTGTTAGTACGGTTTGTCTATAAAGCAGTTTGCATATAAATAAAACCCCACAAAGGAAAAATAGACAAGTTACAATTTTTAACCACAGGTGAACATCGAAAGAAAAGATGATTATTGTTGCAATTAAAATAATTTAGAATATAATGACGTACTTTGTTATACGACTGCTAATTTGAAAGATGACAGGGAATATTTTGCGCCATCAGAAACCGGATGTAAGCAACCATTTGCGTTTTTAATTAGTTACATTTATTTTAATAAAATATAAAAACCCGAACAAATGGTTTAAAACACGAAATATATTAGTTAAACAATTCTTTTAACTACAGTCCGACGTTTCTGACACTTTGCAGCAGACGAGGTCACTCCCCGTGTCTAAAATAATAAATAAGTTTAAACCGTTATTTTAAAGTATATATTATGTATTTATTTACAATAATCAATAAAAACAAAACATGTAATAAAAAACAAATCTTATTTAAAGGGCTTCGATATAAGATCACGGAACCCTATTTATTTCTGTAACATGTACTTATACACCGAAAATCCATTAAGGAGATTTCAGCTATCTTTTACATCATATAGCAATAAAGTTTTACACACTCTTAAATGCCAAAACATAAGACTATTGGTACATTCTTTCATAAGACATGGTACATTAGGTCATAGGATCTAATAAAAAATAACATTTAATCAACTCGTAAAGAACTTTCGGTAAAATAAATTGTAAATACAAATACATTTGACGTTGTAAAACGTTAAAAGTATTTTATTTATATTATGTGTACTTTACTTACTTTGTAAGCTAGTAGTATTTATTTATATTTTGTATAAGCGCAGTTGGAATAAGGCCTCTCACACATAAACACGGTACGACATCGCATCGTGTAAATCTACGATGCGATGCTGTTGTTTTTTGCATTTTTATTCTTGTATTCTTTAGATGTTTTGTCCCATAGCACGGAACGCTGCTGGACTAGGATAATTAAATGATTGACTTCAATAGCATCCATCATACTGTCTATAGTTTACGCGAGTAGTACACATTTAAATAAAACACTTTAACGGTTTAAAACGCGATATATTCAAATAAGTTTAACTAATATATCGCGTTTTCAACCGTTAAAGTGTTTTATTTGAAAGCACCCATCATCTTTGAATTTTGAATATCTACTGCGCAGGATTGCATCGTGAGTTTCTAACGTCACGACGACATACCGTGATACGACGCGACGTCGCATCGTGTTTATGTGTGGGAGCCCTTAAACTACACAATATGCATATTATATTGAATATTGTTACGGGCTTGTTGGTCTAATGGTAGGTAGTATAGTTAAAAATCAACGGGTCTTGGGTTCAATCCCCACCATGTCCAATATGTTTCTAATTTTTCAATTTTTAACTTTTCTGAAACAATTAAAACATCGTCTGAAAATCTGAATATTAAATGGATGGTAGGAATATCGAAATTCCGTCCGGGTCGCGAACCACCATCCAGAGATGAAAAAGCCAAGAAGCTTATTCGCGTTTCAGTTTCAGTCTGTGGATTTTCGAATATCCAGCCAGTCGCCAGCGCATTTTGTTTAGTTGTTATATGGCTGGAGTATTTTACTTTCCCCCGTGTGAATACCATTCTTGACTGTCCTCCTTTAAAAAATAAATATGGTTTGCGAAAATACCACAAAGACGGGTCACGACACGGTCACACAAGGTAAAATTTTGTTGAAAATGTAATATTAGCTGTATAATATCGAACTATTCTACTGCAGCTTCAGCCTTCAGTTGCATTTTTTTAGTTCAGTCACACAATGGAGCTATAGCGACAGAGTCGTTGGCATATACGAGTGTTAATTTTTATCAGTGCCCTGTGTTTATTGGTATAGCAGAAATTGCACTTGCCACATTGCCTAACTAATAAATTGTATAATTATCGCATTTATATATCAATGCTTACAATTTACAATGTATAGAATATTTTGCCTAAGACCGTATCATGGTCATCAGGTCTCAGACATCAAGAAAGTCTGCATTAGATCTGTTTGACATTTATGACGTTTTCAGGTAATAATACGATTATTACCTGAAAACGACTAGTAGTAGGTTAGTGGGTTTTTCATCATTTCCCAATTATGAACATCGTCCAATCGAATTGAATTTTTAAAAATATTGTTATGTGTTTTGGTACAAAATAACAACTTTACACTCCGTTCTACCATTTGACATGTCGTCTTATTAAAAATCTTGATTAACATATACTTAGAGTTTCTAAAACAACATAATATGAACCCTTTTTATATGTCTAAGTTCGGTTCAAAATGTTGTTTTAAAAAAAACTAGATCAGACACGGTTATATAAATGATTAGGAAATCTTAACACACACACACACAGTCTACTTCTATACTATCCTAACTACTGAAATTTGCTTTAGGCTTTACTCTACGTATAATACTATTGGTAATAATTTGTTTTTAATGTGTTTTTACTTTGACGTCAGAGACATCCTCTATCTTTAGTCACCTCGTGACCACGGCTGCTGCAAAGCATCCGAAACGTCGGGCCGAAATTAAAAATCATTTTCAAATAAGTTTAACTAATATATCGCGTATTAAACCGTTAAAGTGTTTTATTTAAATAATATGCTTTATTTTTATTTATTTAAATATATAACGTTTATTATAGACAAAACCTCATGTTATTGTTAATTTTTTGTCTGACTTAATTTTAAAGAATTTAACGATGACTATCGGACTTTGAATCCAAAAGAAGTGATTTATAATAACAATTCTTAATTAACATAGAGTGCGCTAGCGCATGCCAAAACAAAATTGTACAAACTAGCGTGTTCTTTCTAAATTTCCAACTGTACTATACTTGTACACTGCCAAGATAAATCTAAAGTATCTATATAATAGAGATACTTCAGATTTGTTCAGGATTATAAACCATAATCAAGAGAGATAAGTGAATAGCAGTTATCAAAACATATGCGCAAGCGATTGTATAAACTTTTATATATAATTTCTTGCATGGGTATAAAAGAAATTATAATAAAGACATCTGTATTATGGCCCTATCTATATACCATCTGTGTTAGATGTCATTAAGTTTCATTAACAAATCAGATTGAATAGTTTTAACTATAACGTGAAGCTACTATACTCGGTTCTAAATGAATTTGTAGAAAAAAAAGAGGTTATGTACACCCACTTTTTTATGGTAGAGCTATTTTTATACATTTTCATGACTTAATGAAAAAACATTTTTTTTTTAATTCCCATTAATATTGATACAACAGTAGTCCCTTGGTTGGTGGCAATTTAGGTGATTTGTGTTTTTTTGCATTTACAAATTCAATCGATGCACAGTATACACGTTTCCCGCTGTCGCCTCCGCCTTGACGCCCCGCTTTGAGTTGTGAACACGCGCTTTCTAATATATGTATTTTGAGAGCCTGTATTACTGAATATCGAGTGGTTTTGGTACAGTTGTGGTGACAGTGTTGCCGCATACAATTGTCATCGTTCTCCTCACCACTTCCAAAAATGTTGCTCGTTGACTCACTCGCTTTAAGTGCTATAAGGTAACGATAATATTAAATTACAACAATCTTTAACTCGTTCAGTGTTATCTGTTATTTAATTACCATCGGTAAGTTATTATTGTTTGCGTGTGACCGCTTTTAAGGATCTCACTATAACTAATTTAAAATTACTTGTGCGTGAGTGGTTGCTGTTACTGTTGTACTTGGAATGTGTTTTGTTCTGCATTTAATGACTTATGTGTAACTTAAGTATTTCTATCGGCGTTAAAAATTATGAAAAAAAAATTGTGTGCCATATAGCGATGTATATAAGAAACAGTCCGTGCTTTAGTTTTCAAATTATTTAACGTTAACTTAATACAAAGCTTTCAGTTTTATGTATATTTACTTGTACTTAGCGTATTTGTTATTATAATTATGTACTATTATCTTTTTATACCTTACGTGGTAAGAAATCCAGTACCTAATCATTCAATCACAATCAATTCACAAATATATATTTTTCTGAGTATTTACGCCTTATTTAAGTAACTCTATCAGTGACTCTGTTTATGTTTTGAACGATAAAAACCGAATATATACCTTTAATGCAAAATATAATTAATGACAATCTGTACTTACTTAAAACACATTTTTTTATGTACATACCATAATATAGTAATGAACAGATGTCCATAGTCCCTTCTATTTTTAAAAAGAAGGTTTAAAGTCGTTAGAGTTAAAAAAATATATATTAATATTCCTATACCTCAACTACAATGTTATACTTTGGTTAAAATACCGCTAGAAATAATAAAAAAGTTTCCCGCGTAAACGTTCCATGGCTATGACGTCATTTTGGCATCTTTGTTATACCATGCAACTACTGTTCTACCGACATTGAACAAAAAAATATCCACAGATAAAAACATGTTTTTAAGTACTATCAATATAAGTGCTATTAACTATAGAGGTTGTATAGATTTTGTTTTAATAACTAACTCATGCCTGCCAGTTTCATTTTGTCACATAAGCAACGTCAAATATTTTACAAACATTTTGTTTTTTTTTATTGCAAGCCCGGTATCAGGTTGAATGGTTATTTTTTTATAATAAAAGTATTAAAATAATAAAGATTGTAGTAGATTAGGTTTTATAATTCAAAGTTTATATAGATGTCTGTATTATCAGTAAACCTTACAAATAGCTCATCTAATCTTTAAGACGTTCTTTCATCGTACGCATGCTATAGTTGGCTTAGTTTAGTTCTTTACAAAAATATGAATAACAGTCTCCCCGTGACTACGGCTGCTGCAATGCATCCAAAACGTCGGGCCGTAGTTAAAACCATTTTTAATCAAGTTTAACTAATATATGTATATCGCGTTGTGAACCGTTAAATTGTTTAATTTAAATGAGTACTTCTTGCGTAAACAACAGGCAGTATGTTATAGATCAAATTGATAAAAATACAGTAGTTACTAATAATATAAATAAAACTGGACGCTACCAGTAATTGTAATAATTCGTTAAAAGCAGTTGTTTCTTACACGTAATATCTGCCATAAGCCATCATCTATGCAATTCGATAATGTGAAACTTAATAAGTACCACTGCAATTTGCAATAATCAATGCATATAATATTTTTATGCAACCTGTTTGAGACCACCTAGTCACCTGTTCCTAAAGTTCAATTACCTTATTAAATATCTATTTACATACTATATGTTAAATATTTATGTTGTTTTTTTTTTATATTTTTCTTTTATGTATTGGTTCTTACATTAATTTATTTCATTGTAAACATTTTGTGTCATATGTAGGTTTGTCTTAGGTATATTTTAAATTTATGACACCATATGTAAAGATGGAAGTACTGCAGTGGGGCATCGCTGAAAATCAGTGTTATGCCTTTCAGGTACAACAAAAGCTAAGTGCTGTGTCGCCACAAACATAATCTATAAGTATGGTTATTTAGTCTTCTTTTGTATATTTTTTAATAATATAAGATATGCTGTATTCTCCTTAAAATTTAAAAAAAATATTTAGATTCGTCAAAAATTGTTTTCGTTTGTCTGTTTGTTCGTCGTGATTCTACAGAGTTTTCAAAAGAGCAACATAACTGAGAAGAACACCCAAGAAACTCAGAGCGCCTTTTTCAAATATGTCTTATAAACTAATACATTTTTGTGAATTTAATGACCTAAGGAGCAATTCATATTACTGCCAGGCGGTCTTGTCATTAGAGAAATCGTTCAGACAATAATACGCCTTTTGAGGCAATCTAAGTTTTATAACTTTCTTAAATTTATTTATCGATAAATACATACGAATACAATTTCCCCCAAATGAATTAAATATTTTATGGAGCCCATATTTAGGGATAGCTTTGTATGTGGGATTTGATTTGATATAAAATGCTTTGTATAACGCACAGCTTATCTGCTTATTGTAGATACCAAAAACTTATTAGATGAATCGATTTTATCAGATCGAGCTTTACTCAAACCCCTTAAGGGAGTGAAATGGTGCGCAACATTATAATTTCCCAGTACATATTATACATATATACAAAACATTGTATCTTGCACAGCAATATCGCAATGGATATCGCTGAAAAAAAATTTCAAGGAAAGAGGTTAACAGACTCGCCATATAACATCTAAACAAAAGGCGCTGCCGATCTTTTGTCGTTTAATCGGTTCGGTAATCCGCAGACTGTAACCGAAACATGAATTAACACTTCAAGGATGTTTTAATCTTGCGCCTGACGTATCCATAATCATGTATGGTGTGTCGTGGTTTAATATTTATTTATATTATAGCACTAGCTGTGTCAGAGACTTCGCCGCGTAGAATAGTTATTTTGGACATCTAAATTAGTTTTTGCAAACCTCCTCCTTATCTTTACGAATTTAAGCTGTTACACCGTCCGTCGCGTGCCGTCGTTCTTGCTAGACTTTAGAAGATTTTTTTAGATTCTTTAAAGAGGAATAATTCTGGCGTTCAAACATACAAACAAACTCTTCAGCTTTATATATCGGTACAAATAAACCGAAAGTTGGGTCCTTGGCTCAATCAACTCCAAATTGTTAACAAGCTTTCTTTAACAAAATTTATATGTTAATTAAAAAGGTTTACAAGCCTCAATGGTGACACTGGTAACCTTAATGAAGTAAATACTTATCAATTTATTCATAATTCAATAAAATTAACTGGCAATACAAACATAAATTTTTATTTGCCTTTTAGGGTTCCGTACTCAAAGGATAAAAACAAAACTATATCACTACATACTATAAAACAAAATCGCCTTTATTGTCCCTATGTACGCTTAAGTCTTTAAAACTACACAACGGATTCTGATGCTGTTTTTAAATAGAGTCATTCAAGAGGAAGGTTTTTATATAACTTTCACAGTTTTTTGTAGTGTATTTAGTGTCCGCATTGCAGCCGAGCGAAGCCGCGGCAGGTCGCTAGTTACAGATATATTTCTGTCTATGTACCTATTATTAGGCTGTACCGCAAGAAGTATTACTAGATACTGTCTATAGTTTACGCGAGTAGTACACATTTAAATAAAACACTTTAACGGTTTAAAACGCGATATATTAGTTAAACTTTTCGGATGCTTTGCAGCAGCCGTGGTCACGGGGAGACGTCGGGCCGAAGTTAAAAATCATTTTCAAATAAGTTTAACTATAATATATCGCGTTTTAAACCGTTAAAGTGTTTTATTTAAATGTTATTTATTTCAATATGGTTATCACGGTTTTGCGTAAATAATTATTTACTTTTCAATCACAATTTAATTCGTTGTTAATCTAAATTACATCCGCTAATAAATTGAAAAAAAAAGTACGTATATAAAGAGAAAGGATATTTACACACGATAATATAATGATATTGATATTGTATTTAACATCTTTTATCGATACTCTCAGAAACCAAAAACACCTGTTGCTAAATATAATAGATCGAAGAAGTGTTATCGCCCCATGCCCCGATTACGAAGATTTAGATTAACTGATGACGTACCATTTTTAAAAGTCGGTAATCTAACGGTATCATTGATGTAGCAACTTGTCTATTTTTTTCTCTAGGTCTACTCTTGTGACTATTATATAGTACCCGTAATTCGTAAGTGATTTTGTATTTTTTTTTTGTTGATCTCACAAGATGCTCTTATCTAGATCTCAAATCGTAGAGCGAAGATTATCTTAGCAAGTTGACACTTTAACTTAAAGGATTGACTGAGACCTGTTCTGACGTGGAAGCCCAGATTCTCGAAATTCTGGTTTGGCCAGTTTTATTTTCCTTGCGCGTTTTTTGTTAGGCCGATGACGTAGTTCTATGAAGCGTATTTAAATGTTTTAAACAAAAAATCAACAGTCAATAAACAATATTTGTAAAAAATGAGACGCAATCAATGTTGGCAAAATTGGCAATAAAAAATATCTTTAGTAACCTTGTGAATCAATTATGTGTATCGTCTTATTGACTTCAACGTTATAAACAATAAACTTTGTATCTTTAAAATCCAGAACTAAAGAAAGTTATTCCATCCTAAAAACACATTATGTTTTATGTAGGTACCTTACGAAGAGCTGTAGAAACCCTTTAAAAAATATTAAAAAAAAGAAAAGCTGCGTCGTATGATTTAGCATAGAATCATTTTTTTTTAAATTTCATTAAGAGATGACTATTGATCGTCGCAATAGATCTAATGATGCCTATTAGAATTGTGTAAAGCAAGAAATCCAAAATACCATGTAAACATTTAATTGCATATCATTGTCTTTCGGGCTGTTCGGCCGATGTGAGCGAGAAGAGGTTCTCGACTTTAAGAAAGATTATAAATTAATTAGAAACATGTTGGGCCTGGTGGTGGTGGGGATCGAACCCACGATTTATTATCAATCGCCAAATCAATTTCGTAGGCATGTGTAAAAAAACAATTGCCAATGCAATTACTAAAATATGGGTTTAGGTTAACGAGGCAATTATGTGAATCGTTATCTTCATTTACACATCGCCTTACGATTAGATCCGATCACTAGACTGAATAATTTATACATATAAGTTCAAAATTATTTCTAAGATTATTCCCGAAGATAACTGAGTACTCTTTCGAACGTCGAAATAATTATTAAATTTCGACGGAGTCGTGTAATGGTAGCGACGTACGGGTAATAATCGACGGGTTCCAACATTTTTCTATTAAATTTAGAATTTTTCTGAAACATGTTGGACTTCGTCTGGAAATCTGGATATTACATTGGCGGTAGGGATATCGAAATTCCGTCCGGTTCACTAACCACAGATAAAAGAGACCGTGAAGTTTAATCACATTTCGATTTTAGTCTGTGGTGTCGAAAAACCACAGACAGCACATCTTGTTTAGATGCTATAGCCTGGAGTATATCACCTACAATCAAGTAATCTCCACGTTTGTCTGTCATTAAAAAAATCCGAAACGTTTCAGCTTTATAATATTAGTATAGATGTTAATTTTTTTAATTCATTCGTTGCAGCGTATTTCTGAAAGTGGTATATGCGACACACGACTTCCCACCACAGTTCAAGTTCGGTGCTGCATCATCTGCTTACCAAATAGAGGGAGCTTGGAACGAGGACGGTTAGCAATGACAATTTTTGATTCAGTTTTTTATATATATCACGTCCCTTCTACTGGATAACTCGTACCTATCAGGCATCCTTAGCCCGCTGGGAAGATGATCTAAAGAGATCTGCTAGCATAGATGGCTTTATGGCAGCAAATAGCTGACAAGAATAAGCATCTTTGGGGCTTATACCCAAGCCGGGGTTCTTATTAAGTTATAAGTTATCTTGAACATAATACGTTTCTATAGGAAATTATATATATATATTTAAGTCTTCCTTATATTTATAAGTACAATTGTAAAATTAGGTACCTACTTGTGACGGCGTTACGTCGAGAATTACTAATCAAATTATAACAGGCCAAACAATTTGAAACCGAAGTGGCTTTGTAAACTAGCCAAGTAATTACGACAAAGAGCCATCTTGTAGTTCATGAAAAAATTTCAACGCTCTTTGATTACTCTGCGACAGACATTTTTTAATAATCAATATTTAGACAAATTTCTTTTAACGGCTTTAAACGCAAAGTATTTTAACTTTTTTTAAATTACGGCCCCACGTTTCGGATGCTTCGCAGCTGCTGTGGTAACGGGGCCTAAAAATGGAGGGCGCTCCTTATGTCAAAGTCAAAACTGCCACAGATGGCGCTAGCGTAGCAGTTGTGCCCGTTAAGGGGTTTTTTTGTGTAGTCCTCTTCTGAACTACAGACAATTCTTTGACCTTATATTTTGTGTGTACAACATTTCGACCAATAATCAATACAGATAACAATCGACCGTTTGTCTCTCAAAAACCTTAAATTATTTGTATTTTTAGGTAAGGGTGAGAGCATTTGGGACAGATACGTCCACACACGGACCGGGGTAATCGCGGATGAGTCTAATGGAGATGTTGCAGCCGATTCCTATCATTTGTGGCGTGAAGACGTCAGAATTGCTGCTGAACTTAAGCTGGACTTTTATAGGTACTTCTATTAACCCTTACATGACTATAAGAAGGCTGAAACTAAATATACGAATACAATTTTGGATGTAAAGTAAGAGAATATCACTAGAAAAACATAGCTTCAATGTATCCTATAATTTCATACGTTCTTCATACATTTCATACTGGGAGGTAATGTTAGGTATTCCGGGGACATGTAATAGCGCATGCGCCTGCTAGAACGTAAAGCACAGAAGTCTAAACAACTATAAATAAAATTTATCAGTAAAATGAAAACATTGCCCACGTGTCCGACACGTCACGGGGAGACATTGCTGCAAAACATCCGAAATCGGCGTAGTTACAATCATTCAAATAACTTAACTAATATATATGTTTACCGTATTATTTAAATTGTACTACTCATAAATTAAGATAGTAATTAAATTATGAAGTACTTAGACACCCTTAATAGTTTCTCCTTGGGGCGAAAACATTTCTTTATCTTTATTTAATATACTTACGTAGCTCGAAACGAATGTACAAACAAACTGTTTTTTAATTACATTTCAGATTCTCGATATCCTGGGCTCGCATTATGCCAACGGGTTTTGAAAATAACATAAACCAAGCAGCCCTGAAACATTACAGCGATGTCATAGATGCGTTGTTGGAGCACGGAATCGAACCCGTTGTAACTATGTACCATTGGGACCTCCCTGTGAAACTGCAAGATTTAGGTAATGTCTGCATTAATATAAAATAAAATAAATAAAATAAAATATGCTATATCCCTTTTAAAATTAAAAAAAATATTTAGATTCGTCAATTTATTTTTTCGTTTGTCTGTCTGTTCGTCGTGTTTCTACAGAGTGTTCAAAAGAGCAACATAACTGAGAAGAACACCCAAGAAACTCAGTCCGGCTTTTTTAAATATGTCTTATAAACTAATACATTTTTGTAAAATTAACAGGAGCAATTAATATTACTGCCAGGCGATCTTGTCATTAAAGAAATCGTACAGACAATAATACGCCTTCTGAGTTACAATCTAAGTTTTATAACTTTCTTAAATTTATTTATCGATAAATTTGAAATTTCGACTGGCAATGTATTATACATACGAATATAACCTCTCTTTAATTTTTTATAATGGAGGATAGACAAGCATGGCGTTAATTTGATAGTGATTGATAGATGAAATACGCCAGCCATATAACATCTAAACCAGATGCGCTATCGACCTATTATGGCTTTGGGCATATCCACAGACTGAAACCGAAACGCGATTAAACTTCACGGCCTTTTCATCTGTGGATGGTGGTTCGAGCCGGACGGAATTTCGATATTTATACCACCCCATTTAATGGCTAGATTTCCACACGAAGTCCAACATGTTTCAGAAAAATTATAAATTGATTAGAAACATACTGTCTATAGTTTACGCGAGTAGTACACATTTAAATAAAACTCTTTAACGGTTTAAAACGCGATATATTAGTCTCCCCGTGACCACGGCTGCTGCAAAGCATCCGAAACATCGGGCCGAAGTTAAAAATCATTTTCAAATAATTTCAAAAAATAATAACTAATATATCGCGTTTTAAACCGTTAAAGTGTTTTATTTAAATGATTAGAAACATGTTCGACCCGATGGGGTATCAAACCCGAGACCCGTTAATTATTAGTTATACACCAAATAGATTATATTATTTATAATTCATGCCTTGGCGATAAAGATTACGGTATTACAAAGGCTATGTAAACGTACTAGAAAAACAAACCTTGTTTGATGTTTATTGTAAGTTATCATAATAATCTTACAAACTCCGATAGTATTAACACATGTTTGACGTTCTTTGTTGTGATTTTTTAATAATAAAAATAACGAATCACATCATAATCACGTATAATTCTATGTTAGAATTGATGCTTATTAAATCTATACTAATATTATAATACTGAAGAGTTTGTTTGTTAGTTTGTTTGAACTCGCTAATCTCAGAAACTACTTGTTCGAATTGAAAAATTTGTGTTGGTGAGTATATTTATCGAGGAAGGCGTTGGGCAATAAAACATCACGCTGCGACTAATAGGAACGAAGGAACGGTGGGGAAATGTACAGGGAACTATTCTACGCAGACGAAGTCGCTGGCATAGCTAGTTAAAAATATACCTGGATCGGGCATATGCAATGCACGTTATCCAATATTAGTAAATGTGATCTAGAATATGAAATACTCCTTCAACAAATGAAAATGCAAAATATATTAGTTAACAAATTCGTAAATACTTGAGCGTCTTAATTAGTTATTTAGGAAGTGATAACTTCTTAAGGAATGACGGCAAACGTTACGTAACGCATTACGATACCAATCGCTCAAGTTCACTTCCGTTCCGAGTTACACGCGTATTTTTTTACTAATGAATTATTAAGAAATATTCAATCAAAATTTGAGATACAAAAAATGTTTAATCATTATACGTAATAAAAGTAATTAACATTGAAAAGGTATGTTTTCCTGCTCGTTCCAAAGGTTTATTTTTTATGTAACTTTGTATTTGATTTCAACGATTGCTTTTATTTCGATGTCTTCTTAATTAATTCAAAAACATGTATCCGATACATTCAGTAATTATTTCACAATATTAATTATTAAGGTATTAAATGCTGTCTATAGTTTACGCGAGTAGTACACATTTAAATAAAACACTTTAACGGTTTAAAACGCGATATTACTTTACGTTTCGGATGCTTTGCAGCAGCCGTGGTCACGGGGAGATGTCGGGCCGAAGTTAAAAATCATCTTCAAATAAGTTTAACTAATATATAGCGTTTGAAACCGTTAAAGTGTTTTATTTAAACCAAGTGGGAGTTTGTCTCTCACCCGAACCGTTCCGTACCAATGACTAGATACGTTAATTACAGTTACTGTACAGTAGAAAGTGGTAGGTACGGTATATTTAAATAAAACACTTAACGGTTTCAAACGAAATATTTTGTTAAACTTGTTTACTAATTATTTCAACGGCCCGACGTCTCGGATGCTTTGCCAATGCGGTGGTCAAGGGGGTCCTGTCGTCGCGGTCATCAGTATGCTATTTTTTGGTATTCGGTGTTTTTTTACGAGGATGCATACAGTTCTGCAAATAGCCAGCCAGTTTCGTCAAAAATCAATGACGACGGAACAGATGGCGCTAGCAGTTTTCACTTTGACATTAGGGACACGCTCCATCTTTAGTGTCTCCGAGACCACGGCAGCTGCAAACGGGCCGTAGATATATATTTTTTAATAAGTTAATGACATTAGTTCCTAATGTGTATCGAGTTTTAAAACGTTAAAATAGTTTTTTTTTTTAATGTGTACTACTCACGTAAACTACAGACAGGTACGCGACACTTGGTGCGCGATTTCTTATAATAGCGGGCTTTATTTAGTTCATAAAAGTTTTGTTAGTCTTATTCAAATGTGATTAAAATCATGATATATAAGACAAACTTAATTGGTTAGTACAACAGCACGGAAGGCTGTGGATGCCGGTTCAAGACCCGCCCGTGTCATAAATTTTGTAAAATCGATTTTTTATTTACGATTACGTTTTTACTTTTCATACAGGTGGATGGACGAATGAACTGATTGCTTATTGGTTTGAAAGCTACGCTGAAGTTTTATTCCTGAACTACGCGGATCGAGTGAAGACCTGGCTCACTATAAATGAGCCAATAGTTATCTGTGACTTCGGTTATAATCTGGGTACATATGCACCTGGCATCCGAGAGCAGCAGTTAGCACCATATTTATGCAACAAGAATGTGTTGATGGCACATGCTAAAGCGTATAGACTGTACCAACGGGAATATAAGGATAAATATAATGGTATGCACATTTCAACTTGTGTGAATGAATATTTCAACTTAGTGAGTTAATCCTCCTCCGTAAAATAATATACCCAAGAAATATCTCTGAAAGAATGATTCCTCTTTAAATGATCTAAAATAAGTCCGTGACGCTATATATCTCAGTTCTAAGATTAACTTGCAAGAACGACGGGAAGGGACGCGATTCTCGTCGTGGCTAACAGCTTATGTTTATAAAGATGACGGGGCTTACAAAAACTAATTTGGATACCCAAAATAACAATTCTCGCGGACGAAGTCGCTGACACAGCTAGTTCATAAAAATACAGACAATTAATAAAAAAGATTGAAGTGTATTTAAATGTGTACTACAAGTACTGGCTTAACTACAAAAATTACATAAAATTAATTGATGTCGTGTTTTGTTCTAGGGCAAATTTCCTGGGCGAACAATGTCCTCTGGATAGACCCCCTGGAATTACCACGCGATGTTGAATTGGCGACACTTGGAAAAGAACACATGGTAAGGTACTCATAATTTCTGAGACGAAATCTTTCTTATTTGTTACTTATTTATCCTTTACACACTTAACTAAAACAAAAACACGTTTAACGGTTTAAAACACGAGACATGTTAGTTAACTTATTGTTGATTAAATTTCGTAAAAACTGATACGCTACGTATCAGTTATGGCATAAGATACACTGTCCGTCACCCCCCTTTCACAGATCGGTCCTTTTACAGGCAAGCAGTTGATCTGATTTCTGAGCCCTGCCTGCGAAACAATAAATGATATCCCCGGGATTCAAATCCAGGATCTCTGTGGCTAAATGCTAGAAAATACGTTTAACCATTTGGCTACAGACACGGTCCTTTAACGAGACGCTCCATAGAAACTTACTTATTATTTAGGCTTGTCAAAAACGTAGCAATTAGTATAAAATAAAAATCATATCATTGATCATGTCTTTAAGTACTAAATTATTATGATTTAAGTAAATATATAACTGTATACAAAGAACGGCTGTTTCAGGCCTCAAACGAACAGTTAATATAAAAGCTTTTGGAATTTTAAATACTGTTTGCAGTTTACACAAGTAATACACATTTAAATAAAACACGTTAACGGTTTAAACGCGATATATATTAGTTAAACTCATTTGAAAATTATTTTAACAACGGCCCAACGTTTCGGACGTTTTTGCTTTGGCTGCTGCGAAGCACCGACGAAACGTCGTCTGGCCGTAGTTATATAATTTTCAAGTTTAACTAATATATGTCGCGTTTTAAACAATTAAAATTATTTATTTTAAATTCTTGGAGTTTGTCAAAAGACGTAGTTTAAAAGTGTTTTAATTTAAAAAGTCAATCTATTTTTTAAGGTTGGTCGTTACTCTCATCCGATTTTCTCTCAAGAGGGTGGTTGGCCGCCTTCAATAGAGAAACATATGCTCAACTACAGTTTAGCAGAAGGATATAGTGCATCTCGGCTACCTCCTTTCACTCAACAGGAGAAAGAATTCATACGAGGTTGGTGAAAAAAGCTAATTTCTGTGTCAACTAGAATATAACGGAATGTGCTATGCCCAGCATTTGGACCCTATACCTATACCTCAGCCCTAAAGTTGAAAATTAGCTAAAGTCGTTAAATTGCAGATTTCGTAAACGCGTGATAGAGACAATGCTTCTATATACAAAACTCGAGTAGTTATTTTTGGCACTGGCAGTTTTGGAGATTAGCGCGTTCAAACAAACAAACTTTTCGGCTTTATATATTAGTATAGATGATACCTCCAGGCAATTTGTGTACTTAATTATTTAACTATTCAACTACGAGTTGAAATATCTGAGTAGGATGTAGTGCCTGTTGATGGTGTTGTTTAGCGGTACAGAATGACTTACTCAATTGTAATCGTAGCTTTGTTTCCTGTCTGTGTTCATAACCAAAAAAATGTTGTTATTAAAATTACGTTCTACTATATGTAAACTGGCATTAGTCTAGTTGTACCGGATGTTCCTTTTAACATAGATTTATTGACAAGTCAGTATAGCATTGCCTTAATTACTGTTTATTGAGTATACAAGTAATTATAATGGCATCAAGCTAAATAACATAATGCTTCTTTATGGCTGTTATTACTTATCATTAATTAAAGTAAATATTATTAGTGTATAATCATCGCATGACTATTTATTTTATTGACGTTTATTTTTTATTATATATGCTGTGCCTGCGACTTAGTTCGCGTGGAGCTGGCTTTTCAGGCATGTTATTTATTTTTGCAAACAATATCCTCAATTTATAAATTATAGCAGTAATTTTGACTTATATGAGATTGTCAAAATCGTGTGATTTCTGTTATAGGAACGGGAGATTTCTATGGACTGAATTACTACACTACTCGGCAAATAAGGCCCGCGGAAGAGGGCGAAAAAGGGTTCTGGTTCCTGGACGGCTCGCCAGAGCTGGGCGCCATGTTGGACATACCCCCAGACGCGACATATGGCTCATCTGAAATGCTTGCGGTATATAATTCTGGTCGTACAACACATTGAAACAAAGTCCCTTTTCCAATTCAATGTCCCAAATTCTTGCACTACTTTTATACCAAAGTTGATATTTTTTTCATGCAACAAGGAATGAAAGTAATATATTTAAATATGATGGCCTCTGTAGCTAAATAGGTAAACGTGTTGTCTAGCTAAAGAACGTGAGAGGTCTTGAGTTCGAATCCCGGGGAAACAATAGGTAGATTCTGTCGGGCATGGCACAGGAATCTGATTAACTACTTGCCCGTAAATAAAAAATAATAAAATATAAAAAAGTCATTATTGGGGCAAACGGGACTTCAGATGAAATTCAGTAATAAAACCCTGTTTTAAAGCAGGGGTGAACGACTACACTAGGCTTAAATAAAACTTCAGAAAGCGGGTGGTATATTATAACCACGTGGAAACAGATGGCGCTAGCGTAACAGACATTAAAAGTAATTACATTAAGGACAACCTCCGTCCCCCTCTGGCCATGGCTGCTGCAAAGCACGTGAAACATTTAAAACGGGCTGTAGTAAAAATAAATTATAAGTCAACTAATACATTTCACGTTTAAAACCGTTAAGTGTTTTATTTAAATATGCACTACTCGCATAAAATACAGACAATACTTGACTAAACTAAGACTAACATTAAGTAGGAATAAACGACTTGTCAAACGCCATCTTTTGTATACTTCTGTCGGTTACTCATCTAGATTCGTGTTAATTTTAAATTTTCTCGTCTCTTCAGGTTGTACCGAGAGGTTTAGGCCAAATGCTGTCCTATTTGAAGAAGACGTATGGTGATATCAGGTTTTTGATAACTGAGAATGGATACCCAGGCTGGGAAGACATCAATGATATTGACAGGATACAATATATCAAGGAACATCTGGAGGAGGTAGTTTTGAAAGTGCCTAAAAGATCTAGACATTTTTTCTTGTAATGAAACAAGAAAAAATAAAAAATATTTTTTATTGATACAGGTACTTCAAGTGATGAAGACAGAAAATGTAAGCGTCATTGGATACACCTACTGGTCTCTAATGGATAGTTTTGAATGGATTGGTGGATACCAGTTAGTATTACAATTTTTTTTCAAATGCTTACACTTACTGAGTGTAAATATAAAAAAATATTTATTTTAATATTAATTTAGCTTATTTTTAGCCTTTTGTTGCCGTATAGACGTCCTGAAATGTGGAGCAGATTATAAAAACAGTTTTTTGATTTATTCCTATTTCAGCTTGATGTACAAAAGTTTCAGTTACACACTATGAATAAGTAAATACTTAACGTATTATTTATTTAGTGTGAATAACGTATACCCGTTGTTCAGCATATGAGTAAAATATTTTCAAATAAGTTTAACTAATATACCGCTTTTTAACCGTTAAAGTGTTTTAAAATACTAACGTTTTGGCAATCAGTGTGAATACGTGTTTGCATACCCCCTTTAACCAACTTTAAGTAAAATTTTGGCAATCAAATTCGTTTTTGCAACCCCGACGTCGGTAACGCGTTCCCTTCCCAACGTTCTTGCAAGTTAATCTTAAAAGATAGCGTCGCGTACTTTATTTATATCATTTAAACAGGAATCATTACGTCATACAGATTTTTTGGGTATCTTGAACCGTTTTTGCAGCGTACATCTCGGAAACCCATATTGATGAATAACTTTTTCATATTTCTTACTGTATCTTCGCGTGTATTAGTTATAGGCGATGTTATATACCCTATATCCTTCCTCGATAATGCAGAAAAAAAAATCAATTCGTGCACGTAGTTCCTGAGATTAGCGCGTTTCAAACAAACAAACAAACTCTTCAGCTTTATATATTTTGTGGTAAAAATAAGAATAACCACAAAACTTTGTGGTTTATGAACTTTTTTTCTTTCTTTGTTGCAAAGTAGATATTTACAAGAAACGTGGTAAAAATTATATTGTAAACATATTTTCTACATCCATTTAATTTAACTTATACAAAATACGTTTTACTTCATGCGAAGTAAAATGTATTATTTTTATTTTTAAACGATTTTTTTTAACTTATTGATTAATTTCCCAGATCGACATTTGGCTTATACGATGTAGACTTCAATGACCCGAAACGACCACGACGCCCACGATTGTCCGCCAAATACTACGCCTGCGTCATAGACACCAACTCTCTAAACGTCTCACAAGAGTGCACAGACAACATACCGATTGCCGACACTTGGACAACTGAAGAGAATACTGGCAACATTATCTTGCTTTCAAATACCTTAGCGATAGTTCTTCTAGTTGTTATTTATATTTTTATGAAATTGGATTAAGACTTAGAATAGAAGCGTGGCTTTTATTACGTTCGTCTTGTAACAAAATGTAGGTACTATTGTTAAAAATTCATTCAATTATAAGAGAAATAATAATACATACATATAACTGCTAAATTTAGAAATATTTATGATATTTCACATAACGAAATAATTCTAGAGACAAAAATTTTGTAATAAAAAAATTGTATTTTATAAGAAAAATACTATACAAGATACACATTAACTAATTAAACTCTGGGTGATTTATAGCAGCTATGAGAACAGATAGAGAGTAAACAAGAGTTATTTGAGCACGTCATCATCATCGATGGTTGTTTATAATTATTTTGACTATTTGGACGTGATAAAATAAACTTTTTCTGCAAAAAATTAGTCCTAAGTTAGGTCTTAATTTATTAGGCACACAACTAATACAATATAGAATTAAAAAACCAATAATGTACAAAAATTATATTTTTACTTCTTAAAAGCTTTTTCTAATTGCAACAACGGTTCGTTCTTTCCTTTCCTCTTCTCCTTCTTTAGCTCACCTGTTTCTAACGCCTTTTTCATAACCTGGAAAGGACAAACCTCTATTATAAATGTGGAATAAAATCTGTTACGCGAATATATATACACTGAATGAATCGGTAATGAAGTGCTATCTCTCTTTCATGTAATACGGAAAACACTTGAGTGACAGAGACAAAACTTTGATTGGCTAGTTCGTATTCAAATAATGTCGTCAAGATAATTATTTTAGTATAAAGAAATAAACAAATATTCTCGTAAATTCAAACATTTGTTTATGTGGTTATTATCTTAAACACACCTGTAATGCATTTTCTTCGCTCACAGTCTGCAAAGAAGTGGTGTCGTTCAATGTTGGATATTTATACGAGAAACCTTTAGGGAACACCGGTTGAGCCAACATTGTCTCCAGCCTTCGCTTCTTGGCATTCAATTCCTTGTCCAACTTGGGATCGGCTTGCTTTACTGGACTGATGATTGAGTTGAGTTTAATTATTATTGAAGAAAGTGGCAAACAAAATTTATTATTAACATTTCACTGGAGCCCGCGTTACCTATAAATACGTATTAAGTAGATTTGTGGTGGATACCACCACTACAAACCCACTAAATACTTGTACTAGCTGAGCTTAACAATTCTATCAAACCACTGTTTATTTCTAATAGAAAAATAACGCCGTTGTACAATTTATCAAAATTGATCATCTATTATTTGATTCGCTTGTCACTTTATTATATAACTTTCTTAATTTATAATAAAAAAGGATACACATCATCTTCATCGATGATCATGTCCATCTCTTTAGCGGCCTTTTCGCGCCAACCGATCGCCTGCGCTGTGCGTCGCCTGCGCAGCTCCAACACTTCGATGTCACGAGCCAGGTTTATCATCTCTTTGAGTACTGTTATGCTAGAGGTTGGCACTGGGAAGTTTGCTAGTTCCGTAGCTGTTGACATAGAGAAAATATATATGAATAAAATATTATGTGAATATAAAGTATTTTTTTATATTCTCTCGTTGAAACTATTTGGCTTAACTACGTTCTGTACTTTGATAATAAGCGTTCTTAAAAATATATATTTAAGGTCGTATATGCTTATCATAATAAATTATATTAAAATTTATCTGTTATAGTGATTCAAAAAATAACTAAATTTGACGGGGTCGTTGGCCTAATTAATAATAGCAATGTATTAAGTATTTAAATAAAACACTTGAACGGTTTAAAACGCGATATATTAGTTAAACTTATTTGACAATGATTTTTAACCTCGGCCCGACGTTTCGGATGCTTTGCAGCAGCCGTCTCTTCGTGACCGCGGCTATATATATCGCGTTTTAAACCAAAATAATAAATTTTCTAAAACATGTTGGCCTTCGTCTGAATTATTAAGTGGGTGGTAGGAATATCAAAAATTCCATCTGGGTCACGACCCACCGTCCACAGATGAATATGCCATGCGATTATGGCGTTTCGGTTTCAATCTGTGGATTACCGAATAGGCCAAAATAGATCGACAGATTATTTTGTCAAGACGTTATACGGCTGTGATAATTCATATTCCATCAAGTGAACTTCATGCTTGACTATCATATAAAAAAATAGTATAGAGTTCTATACTCACTCTTGTTAAGCGTACGACAAAGCTTGCTGTAAGTATAGGCTTCTGAAGGCTCCATCATCAAAATTGTCAGGCCTTCCTTATTTGCACGCGCTGTTCTGCCGCTCCGATGCACGTAATTCTGTATAATTATAGAATTCATGTATATTTATAGTACTAATTTAAATAGCGATTTATAAACTTATTTTAACTACGGCCCGTTTCTGTTGCTTTGCAGCAGGCGTGGTCACGGGCAAACTTCGAGCGTTTAACTAATTCATATTTCGCTTTTTAAATCTTTAGTGTTTTAATTAAATGTGTACTACTCGCGTAAACTACAGACTATATAAATAAGTCTTATGTTTGCAATGCTTCTCTGTAATGGCATTATGCACATCGCTAAAGACACTTAGCGTTTCAAGCTGCTATACATGACACCCCTAATTGGGGGACAGATACATTTCTGTGTCTGTTTCAATACTACACTTATATTTATAGTTCGATAGTTCATCAGACTGTGTTCTGCTTGACCGAAACTATTTTATCTCACTTTTTTCTTATTCACATTAAATTTATTATTAAATTACATGTAATAAGTACGAAAGCTTAAGTAATTAATTAATTTAGTTAAATCATACCTCAGCTGTCTTTGGTACTTGGTAATGCACTACGTGATCCACGTTGGGTATATCTAGTCCACGCGCAGCAACGTCTGTAGCTATCAAGACTCCACGTGAATCATCGCGGAACCTAAAAAAAACTCACATGAAAGGGCAGGTAAAATAAGGTGTATATTTTTTTTTAAGCCGGTTAAGGCAATAACGCGTTTATGGTTAAAATGTTTATCATAATACAAATACTGTCTGTAGTTTAAATCCAAATAAAACGGTCCCGTCTCCCCGTGACCACGGCTGCTGCAAAGCATCCGAAACGTCGGGCCGAAGTTAAAAATCATTTTCAAATAAGTTTAATCTTATAGGGTTTTAAACTGTTAAAGTGTTTTATTTAAACGTCAAAATCTATTATCGCGTTTTAAAAACCGTTAAAAGTGTTTTATTTAAATATGTGTAGTAAGTTATCGTCTTGCGTTATTAAATACTATAGACGCAGTGTTATATCATAAAAAAATTTTACTAAATGGCTATTAAAAATTAAGGGTTTGTTGGGAGAAAAAGGAAAATTGAGGATTGTATGTATTTTTGTATGTTGTCTAAAAAAAATAAAAAAAATTTTGTTAAAAATAAATTTAGGAGTGGACCATACCCCTAACATTTAGGAGGATAAAAAATAGATGTTGGCCGATTCTCATAGATACCGGATAAGCACAAAAAATTTCATCAAAATCGGTCAAGCCGTTTCGGAGGAGTATGGCAACGAAAACTGTGACACGAGAATTTCATATATTAGATTAAGACTTATTTTATTGGTAACGCTAATAACTTGTTGTCGACAGTTGTTTTACCTTTCAAGATTTTTCAACCTCTGCCTTTGTGGCATGCTGGCGTGCAGCGGTAGTGTTCGACATTTCAACAACGTTAGTATTTGCACTAATCTAAAACAAAAAAAACACTTAGAAATTTTTGTTGAATAAATATTAAGTATTACACATTTAATTACAATGCTTTTTAACAGTTTAACAGTAAATGTATGGGTTCAAACGAAGTAACAGATGATGACATCAAATATTTGAAGATGGAAAAAATAGTAACATTCTGCAAGCAATCAAGGTTTTAAAGGGGTACACGGATAACCCAAAACCCTCTCTGCAGGGAGGAAATGGGAAAATGGGTGAAATGGTCAGCTGATGGTTTGGACCGATTACCCGGCATTGTATAGGTGTCCCCGATAGAAAATAATAATAATAACAGTTTAAAACAAGAAATATTTAAATTATTGTATTACATTACACTAGCAACAAATATGGGGTAGTTAAAATAAATTTAAACATAAAGCGAAATCCCGTTTCGCCCTTGTGGGGCATGGGGCGAACACATTTTTGTGTTCGTTTCACTCATCCGTTCAAAAATGTAAAAATAAGGTAACTAATATATTTTGGTTTTAAAAATTAAAATGTTGTGAACCTAAATGTATTCATCATGTTTTTTTGGCCCAATTAATATAATGAGTTTATGAATAACAACAAACCTCTTTACACTATTAATTGAATTACAGAAGACAATAGTTCTCCCAGGATGCCTCCTCAATATGTAGAACAGGTACGCGTCTTTCTGGTCGAGTGAACAGGCTATACGACATTCTGTTAGTGTTTCTGCAGTACCTGAAATTAATAAACATATGAGGTAATATTTAATAACTAAGTAAAAAAAAATGTTGAGAATAAACCCGACCTTAGTTTCAAAAATTAAGAAGATTTTTTTTTATAGTAGAGCAAATTTTTTTTTTTTTTGTCCTAATAGCCTACCATCCCCGGCAGTATTGCTCCGGGGCCGAGGAGGTGAGAGAACCTAAGACTAGACGAAAGCGGCGCTTTTGGGTAGGAGTAGATCACATTAGCTTTAGGTTCACTTGCCGGTATGTGAAACACTCCAGCCATATAACCTACCCAAACAAGAATCGCTGTCGACCTAGTTTAGCTTTGGATATTCGGAAAAATTTTATTGCTCAAGTTTTAAAAAACATACACATAATAGTTAAACAAAGTCCATAGAACTGAATAACAATTCTAAACTACGTCGTCGTCTACTAGTTCCTGAGTGAACGCTCAAGAAAAAGTGCTTCAAACATGTGGTATAAAGGATCTTGATGCAACACACCTAAGTTTTGTGTGGTGATGTCGACAACCTTGGGCTCAGTCATACCAATCATGTTGATCAGCCTATTAACCTTCTGTTGTGGTGTCATCTTTTCTATTTTGCGATTTATAACCTTGCCACGTTTTGTTACCTGTATATAAAGTAATAAAATATATGTATATACAGAAATGCAGACATAATATAGTACTTTGTGTTGATCCTTTGAGCCGATTAAGAGGCCAGTAACAAAGCATACCTTTTAAGTTGGTATGCATTGATAACTAAATTGAAAATTAAAGAATTCTTGTCTTAATTTAAGTTTTAAGAGTAGAATCTATTAGTAGATACTGTCTATAGTTTACGCGAGTAGTACACATTTAACGGTTTAAAACGCGATATATTATTTTAACTTCTTTGGCCGGGTTTTTTTCCCCGGGACCCCGGGGGGGGAAAAAAAACCCGAAAGGTGGGGCCGAAGTTAAAAATGATTTTTAACTAATCTGTAGCGTTTTAAACCATTAAAGTTTTTTATTTATATCCATTAGTAGTTTTATTAAAACATTTCGTCATGACCATTTATATTTTTTACAAATTTAATACCTTCTTTCCCTTCATGTGTGACGGCAAATCGTGAACCATAGTTAACGTGGCTGAGAACACGAAGTTTTGACGGGAATTCTTGTATGCTTCATCCATGTTAAGTCTTTCAAGTAATGGTTCCAATTCTTCAAAGTGCCCTCGCTCTATCATTCGATCCGTTTCGTCTATCGCGAGGAATCTTTACATAGAGTTAATTTGTTTTAAAATTAAAGTTGTTCTCTATTTACTGTACACTAGTATAGTAAATGTTGTGCAGATATACTTACTTAACAGAGGGCAACTGCTGCAAATGTGGCTCACCCTGATTTAAAAGTTCCCACAACCGACCTGGGGTGGCTACAACCACTTCTGGTGCAGATCGGAGAACTCTTTCTTGTTTCACAGATGCCATACCACCTACTATAGTTGCTATTCTTATACCTATAAAAAATTTTGTTTAGTAATTGTTGTGTAGTTTTACCATTTTAATTTTTATTACCTTAGTGTAAAATAATTCTACTACACTTCAAACTCACCTGTATATTTTGCTACAGCAATTAAATGTCTGCTAATTTGTATTGCCAATTCTCTTGTAGGTGTTATAATTAAGGCATATAGTGGCTTCCCTGTTTTTACTATAATCTGTTTTGGCATTTCAATATCATCAATCACTTTGACACAACCCAAACCTAAAAGTAACATTTAATTATTCTAAGTATTTTGGCAATTTAAGTTATTTAAGTTTTTATAAAAGTTGTTGATATCTTCACCACATCAAAATAAAAAGATACCTGATTTATCCTTTTCAACTGTGTCTATAACACCCGATTCATCATTATCTACTGTGTCAATACCATCCTGTTCATCAATTTTCTCCTCTGCGGCACTTTCATTAGATGCTAGATCATCTGAATCAAACATTTCTGACAACTTTATATATTCATTTTCACTGTCATTTCCTTCGTCTATTGACTCTTCTCTCTTTCTTAAGGGAACTTCTATTTCTTCTATAAAGTCATCAGTCTCAATACCATTTCCTTCTTTAGAACTATTTTCTTTATTATCTTCCTCTTTTTCATCCCCACTGCTGTAACCATCTTCAGAAGATTCTTTAGAATTCTCTACATGTGCTTTTTTGCTTTTACCTTTTTTTATCTTCTTAGGCTTAGTTTTAGTAATTTCTTTCTTTTTGTTTGAAGATTTTTTAAAAGGAATATCATATACATCAAGATTTTTCAGTTGCGCCTTTTCTTTGAGTTTCATTATACCAGAAAGAATTGGAAGACCAAATGCTAATGTTTTACCACTTCCTGTTTCAGCTGCTCCGAGTATATCTCTTCTACCTGCAAAATTTATCTATGTTAACAAGACTAAAATTATTTATTTATTTAAATGTTTATATTATGAGACGGTGAATAAAATACTACTTGAAACACAATATATTTTTATGTTGCTTATTAGGTGATGCCTAGGTTTATACTACTATACTATTTTGAAACTTACCATGTATAGCAGCAGGTAATGACATCTGCTGTATTTTAGTTGGCTGTTTAAAACCTAGTTCCATAAGGGCTTTAATTATCTCTTCAGGTAACTTAAACTCTGCCCATGAAAGCATATCTTCAGGTGTAAGTTTAGAATCTTCATCATTAACATTTTCTCCTAGTTTAACTTTTTGTTTCTTTACAACTTCATTAGCATCTTTAGATTTAGGGGTTTTCTTCTTGTTCCTTTTAAGTTGTTTATTTTTCTTATTTTTCAAAGCATCATTAGTTAATGATGGTGTAACAGTACCACAAGATTCTACAGTGAAACCATTAGTTAGTTTGACTTTTTTGTTTGGGACACAATTTTCCTCTGTGGGAATTGATATTTGCTCAGCTTTTCTTTTTTTAGACTCTCTTTTCTGCAAGTTAAGTTAAGTTTATACACAAAGTTAAGGAAAATAATTAAAATTAATTGTACAAATGATTTTACATATAATATTAACCAAACTTTATTAAATAGAAATAAGGATTAATTCCTAAATAAACTTTACACTGAATGATTAATATATAATAATACCAGTATTTAGTACTTCTTAAAAATGCAGCAAAGAGAAAAGAGAGACGGGAAAAACCAAATTTGCAATGGAATTTTTGTAATTCAAGTACAGCAAAACGTTATACGCTATCCAAAAAAGTATAGAACAGAAAAATATTTCCTTACCTTTTTTGTCGCTTTAGATCCTTTATCCGTACCATAATCAGTACATTCTTCTAGACCTACCAAACCATCGAAATTATCAGCCATGGATATTGGAAACCCATCTAAGGATACTGATTGCCATTTCGCAGTTTTTATTTTCTTTGACATCCTTAATGATTATTACTTTGCAGTATATTTATAAATAAGAGAATATACTAATTTTATAACTACTTACAATCTTTCTTAACCTTCTAAATTTTACCGACAATGTGATTTTGACATTTATTCAAACATAATAAAAACAATAATCATAAGTCACAACTGACAGTTGGATGCCTGTTTCGAATAATCTGACTAAAGGCCTAATAAAATATAAAATAAACATTCTAATGCAAAATATTTTCTTTTATTGAAAAGCCAGTCATTATTTTATGTCCATCAAAATTCTATAAATGAATATTAAATTATACAAAAATTGCTGGATAACAATTTAGAAGTAATTCATAGACAATTTAAATATCAATTTGTGAATGCATCGTCAACGGCTAAAAAAAATATTAGCACGCTGCCGCCTGCCGCCACCATAGACAACCGGGAGGAAGTTTGTGAGTGATCGATTTTACACCGGTCTTTGCAAAACTTCTCAACGACAGTTATCTTTGTTTAGAAATTCGCGTGTACTTTTATCAAAACAACAGAAACAAGGCGGCCGCGTGTATATAAAATGGCGAACACGTTTCGCGGGGTGACGGTATCCGCCGTCAACAATGACGGAGCTCTCACTCCTCGCTTCAATTTTCCTACAAACGTAAACGTGGATTACGATCCGCAAGGGCTGAGTGTTAAAGTGATACGTGCGGATCCTGTTCTCGCCCAGGAGGTGCTGGAGTTCCCCGTCCACAATCAAAGCGAGTGTTCGCGAGTGGCTGGACAATCTTACATTTTTACAATAGATAATGAAACGTTGTTCTTCAAGTTCGCTTCGGATAGTGATTGTCAAAATTTCCATCTGCTGGTTACTAAGATCAAAGCCGGACGGTCGTCCTCTGTTTTCACGGTGCGGACAGAGGACTCGTCGGCGATGCAGTATTTTCAATTCTACGGTTACTTGAGCCAGCAACAAAACATGATGCAGGATTACGTGAGGACGAGCACCTATCAAAGAGCGATACTCTCCAACATTAACGATTTCAAAAATAAGGTAATATTGGACGTGGGAGCTGGTTCAGGGATATTATCCTTTTTCGCGGCGCAAGCAGGTGCAAGAAAAGTTTACGCGGTTGAAGCTAGTAACATGGCTCACCATGCCCAAGCGCTGGTTCGCGCCAATGGCCTCCACGATAGAATCACAGTAGTAGCAGGTAAAATAGAGGAAATTGAATTACCAGAAACTGTAGATGTAATTATATCAGAGCCCATGGGCTATATGCTTTACAATGAACGCATGTTAGAAACTTATTTACATGCAAAGAAGTGGCTGAAACCAAACGGTAATATGTACCCAACAAGAGGAGACCTCCATATAGCTCCTTTCACCGATGATGCTCTCTTTATGGAACAATACAATAAAGCTAATTTCTGGTACCAATCTTGCTTCCATGGAGTTGATCTAAGTGCTCTGCGCACTGCTGCTATGAAGGAATACTTTAGACAACCAATTGTTGACACTTTTGATGTACGTATTTGTATGGCCAGATCTGTCAGACATGTTGTAGATTTTCTCAGTGCTAATGAAACGGATTTGCATCGAATTGAAGTGCCATTTAGATTTGAATTGACACAGTCTGGAACTTGCCATGGTCTTGCATTCTGGTTTGATGTACTATTTGCTGGAAGCACACAACACATTTGGCTCTCTACTGCACCCACAGAGCCACTAACTCATTGGTATCAAGTGAGATGTCTACTTGAAACCCCAATCTTTGCAAAACAAGGCCAGGCATTAAGTGGAAGAGTGCTTTTACTTGCCAACAAGAGACAAAGCTACGATGTCACAATGGACATAAGTTTGGAAGGCACTAATATAACGTCTTCCAATACTTTAGACTTAAAGAATCCATACTTTAGGTACACAGGTGCACCTGCTGCTCCACCTCCTGGAGTCAACACCACATCACCTAGCGAAACATACTGGAACTCCATTGAGTCAGCAGGATCATTAAGTAATGGCCAAGGTGTAATCTTGACTGATGGAACTCAGCAGTTCTGCTCAACTCCTGACCAAACTATGGCATATGCTGCTCACCCAAACATAATTAAAACTGTAATGCTTCAAGAGGAATTTATCAAAAGGATTGGGATTAGTCAAAACGGCGACATATAATCCGCAAAGTTGCGCCGTGCGCGCCTGCGGGCTATCAGAAACCGTCGCAATCGGTTGTGAACAATCTTCCGTTCAAACTCTAGTGTGTAAGCGGACTTATTTATTTACGAAACATCACAGTGGACTATGGCAACTGGTAAATCGTGTATTTTATTAGTTGGGGCAGCTCGCCTTCAAATCTATCTGTAGGGATAGTTACACGCATCGATAATAATCATTAGGACATTAACACAATAGTGTTAATTCATATGCAGCGCCTTTTGGTGTATGTTTTGTTTACAGTATGACGCTTATTAGTATTAAATCAAATGACATAAACAACAATTATTGATTATGTATCAAGAAATTTTTGTAAATAAAATCCTCACCCAACTTTACAGTAGAGACAAAACTGGCCAAAAAGCGTTATGAATTGAGCCCGGGCAGCTCAGTTAGTATAAGAACTAGTATGAAGTACATCTTAGTTTAAGCAATAAGTGCTAATAATGCTTTGAATACTCATATACGACCATTTCATCAAGTAGGGAACACTTGTATGAGTCCGTGAAAATTGTGTTTTTGTGAATCTTCGTCTGCCAATTGAAATGTTTGAGGATGAGTCATTATACACTAATGAAACATGTAAATAGTTAGAATAGGATAATTTTAACATTTTTGAATTATGTGAATTATCAGTATTGCTTTGTGTTCCATAATGCATCAAACTAGAAATATGATTTATTTAAATACTGCCACTTTTCTTTTTTCTTTATGTATTATTCATATTAAGGGAGAAGGTATTGAAATTCAAGACTTAAAATTAATTTGTTATTTATAGCATTAGTAAGAAACGTATGTGGAAGGTAATGATAATAACAGTAGAATCTCACTAGTCCGGCACACTAGGCTTGCCTGTTATACTTAGAGGTAACCACCAAATTGTCTTTCAATATGTGAATTATGATTATATTTTCTTTTTCTGAAAATATTCCAGTTATTTGAACATATAATAAATAAATCTGGCACAGTGATTTTTACTGGCAACGGATTAACAAGATTCTACTGTATTTTGCTATCAATAATATTTTGACTTCGAAAGACATACTTGTACACCACAGATTCCTCCTAATTTATTAAATCAATACAGCTACCTCAAGATTTGGCAGACGGATTAGAATTTAAAAAAAATGCATGCATGACAAAGTTGTGTAGAGTTGCCAATTGTTTGTTTATTGATCACACAGTTGGCAATATCTGATTGGAGCTACTCAAAATTTACTTAAATTTTGTAATTCATTTGACCTATCAATAATAATTAAATCGTCACAAACATTTTTTTTTCTACTTATTTCCTGCATTCTCTATGGTAATGGTTGTTATAACTTCAAACTTCTAAGGGTTCTCGTTCAAAAGAAATAAAGGAAAAATAGTGGATTGGCAGGAACTACATTCCACTAAATAGTAAGTAGTATACATAAATAGTTTTGGCTTATGTAACCTTTAGTATGTAAGTAAAAATTCTAATATTTAAAAAGATTAGCTTGACAGATTATGACGAAATTGTTCATAAACATCTTCAGTTGAAAGTCTACTCTAATCAAAAATATAGATTAACTCTGGAAATTACTAGAAGTATTAAAAATAGAGGTCAAACTACTACCAATATTACACAACAAAAATAACTAGAACAAAATAATTAAAAATGCAGTGTGATACAAACTTCATATAATTATTTCATCTACATTGAACTTAGTAAAATAACTTAACTAATTAATAAAAAAGTTTCATAACTGCATTATTGATTCACTTCATTTATTCTTGTGTATTATGTTGCTCAAATAAACACATTGCTATAATATAATATAAAATACATTAATGATTTTGGAATGATATCTAATAAGCCATTCGAGATTACAAAACGTTAAAATATTTTAAAATTCTACACAATGTATGTTAACAAAATGTTACGATCTCAAACTATATAAATTACAGATAATATAATATTTGTGACATTCTGTCACAGATAATAATTAGGCGAGCTGGAGTCCCTCGTATCCCAAGGAGTCTGGATCGGGACAGTCGAGGCGACTCTGAAGGTGCTGAAGTGTGTTGTGGAAGTGCTTGGTCACTTGTTCTACTTCTTCACTTTGATCAAGATTAGCGAGCTCTTCCCGGATCTTTTGTATTATCTGTGGAAAATGAAACATTCCCAGACTATGTATTCTATCAAAAAACAAAGAACTTCACATACTATTAGTACATATGTGACAAGCGTGGAAAGATTTAAGCAAGTTACGAAAAAAAAGCTGAGTAATGACAGAACAAGTTTCTCCTTCAAATCTTTCTTATCTCCTGTCCTTTGTATGACAGATAAAACATCTTTTACGTAGTCGTATGTTACACTTAGGTAAGTAAAGATGTAGTATGCCTCAACGGCGGACTTCTATTGGGTCATGACCTTTGAGCTGGTTACACGCCTTAGATGGACCACAAAATGAACATACCTATTGATTTTATTTACAAATTATACAATTAATAATAAAAAAAATTAAGTACGTTACGTTTACGTACATTAATAAAATACCTACTTTTTATTGTTATCAGAATGAAATTAAAAGTTCTTGACTTGACCACTACTATGTGACCCCCTCCTCGCGCCAAAGCCAGATTTTAGTTCTAATGATACCCTATATTTTTGTTTTGGCAGTACCATCATGACTTCCCAGCGACCATTAACTTACCGCCTGTATGAGATTAGTAGTGAGCGCGTCGTTGCCCCGTTCCCTCAGTAGCACGTATCTGCCCAGCAGTTCGGCCAACAGCTGAGCTTGGATGCCACCGTCCATACACTGTTGCGCGACCCTGGCAGCTTTCTTCAGACAGTCGAGTGCTCTAGACGCCTCGTTCAGCGGCCACTGAAAAATGTATACGTATACAGGTCACATTTTCTTGCAATAACAAATAGTTTTTTTTGTACCGCCTATTTGTCACCTACCGCGTCGAGGTGAACACTCAGTAAATAGCATTTATTTCTAAGTGTTTAAATAATACATTAATTATTTTTATTCATAAGCTATAGTTATTTCCTAAATTTCTTTTGTGATAGACGACAGACAAGTTTCATAGTACGTGAAATAGCCCAGTCACATAACATCTAAACAAGATGCGCTGTCGGCCTATTTCGGCTTTGAATATTCAAAAATTCAAAGCTTTTTCAACTATGGAGGATGGTTCGTGACCCAAACGGAATTTAGATATTTGCTACCACCCATTTGATATACAGATTTTCAGAGATGTTAAAGAAAATCATATTAATTTGAAACCACGACCCATTGATTAGCCATACATTGCTACCATTACGCCAACAAATCGATGTTAATAATCTTTTATATGTTCTATACGTCGATTTGGTTTACCTGTTTTCCATCTTTAGCGCCTTTCCAGAAGAGATGAGCACAAAGGGCCACTGCGCGACTTTGGTCCGGCTTCTTTAACAACTTACTGGCTGCCAGCGCGCACTGGGTACGCATAGGTTCAGCGTTTTCAGCGCCTACGAATCACATATTTTTTTAAATATATTACATGTGTTCCACAATCGTTATTAGGGCTAATAAAATTATCTAATTATAAAACATGTTTGCAAAAAGCTAGTTTCGCCTGTAATAAAGATTAACAATATAATTGAAGATTGAAATATTTAAAATATCCTATACAAGATCTGTACGCAGTAATAAATATTTTTCTATATTAAGTTTAGTAAAATAACTTTCATTTACATATTTGAAAATTTTAATATGTTTCACATGTTATTGCACATGATGGCATTATACAAATTAATTAGTCTGAAAAAAAAATACGAAACGGGCAGGACTTGAAGCGGCATTCACAGCGTTCCGTGCTGTTTGCTCTAAATAATTGAGCGATTGTTTGCTACACGTCATTCGATTTTTGATGTGAAACAATGGTCCGAGACGGTCGCATTAACCTTTTTGAAGTCGGTTAAAAAGGTTAAAATAATACTCACCAAAGCAATTGATTTGCTCGAAGGTCGCTATAATTAGTGTTATAGCTGCCAACTGTGCTTTGCTATCGGAGATCTCGTCTTCATACAAGGAGAAGGCTTGAGATAAATATTCGTATGCGATGGTCTCGTGATTCGCAAAACCAATTTCACCGATCGCTAGCGCTCCTTGTAGGTATAGTCTATGGAAAATAAGAAAGAAGGTTTTAAGCTGGACACATTAGCAGTAGATGTTTAATTTAAAAAAAATATAATAAACAGTGGTTTGTTTTGGTGATAAATACAATTTGGAAATGTGTATGTGCTGTGTCAGCGACTACGTCCGCGAGAATCGTTATTTTGGCCGTCCAAATTAGGTGAAATACTCCAGCCACGCATCTAAACTATGCGCTGTTGATCTATAGTAGCTTTGGATACTCGAAATCAAACTGAAACTTAAACGCGATAAAACTTCATGTGTTTTATCATCGGCAGACGATGGTTCTTGACCCGGACGGAATATCAATATTTCTACCACTCTTTTAATGTCTATATTTCCAGACGTAGACCAACTTGTTATAAAAAAAAACATATACATATATTGATTAGAAAAATGTGGGACCCGGTGGGGGTCGAACCCACGACCCGTCAAATTATTATAATTTTTAGTTTTCAATGAACTTGCATTGGACTTAACTTGTTTGCTACTTAATATTGTATCCGTGTTTAGTTATTAATCTTAAGACTTTTATAAATAAATTATCTGTGTTTTTTTTAGGATGCACCGTTATGTCATAACCTCAAACATAAATATAAGTATGTATATCATGTATCAAATATAAATGTAGGTCATAATGTAAAAGTCATTTATAAATATTGTTTCTGTTTTGTGTCTTGAAGAAATAAATAAATTAGAAATGATATCTACCTCAAGGGCAGTTCAGCCAATTCAGCCTTCACGAGCATACTGATGGTTTGATGACAGAACTGGAAAATCTTTTGGCATTTCTTTTCCCACATCTCATCCTGGACAAGAGAAATTAATTTTAAGAAACACTAATGTCACTTTGAACGAATATCACTCGCTAAATTAAGTTTTTTTTAAAGAATTAAGTTTATTTTATGAAAACTATAGTATAGTCACTTGCTATAGTCTTATAGTGTTTCTTATTTGTTAACAATATTTCAAATGCTTTCTATTCAAATATATTTATTTATTTATTTCAGCTTTATTACTTATAATTACTACATAAACTACAAAAACTACAATTCCATGAGATTATTCGTTTAAATCTAAAAAAAATAATCTTAAATGATTTTGTTAAGGTGCAAAGTATAAGATATTGAACCTTTATGTGAACTTGATAAGGTTGAAACTACATTGCAAAAATCAATAAGTTGCAAAAAATGTATGATGTGTAAAATATTAAAGTTTTCAATCTAACGGAATTGCTTAATCGAGCTAAATTAAACCCTATTACCTGATCCTTGAGTTCCTTATAGGTAAATGCGAGTTGGTAAGCGTGGAATACGATTGGTGGGAATGTATGCTGTATCCGCTTGGCGCCGCCACTTTGCAGCGCTTTCCTTGCTGCGCTTAATATCTGGTACTGCTGATCAGCTGACTCCGATTTGAAATGATGTATTAGCCTGTTACAATAATTATGAATAGTTGAAATCATAATAAAAAATGCATGAAGAACGTTGATTAAATTTTATTACCTAGCCATAAGTCCTTGTTCTTCAACAAAATCTTCAGTGATGCTCTCCTCAACTTGATCAGATTGATCTTTTACTAAAACATCCACCATTGACAGTACAGCATCCACCTTCAAATACAAAAAAATATATATTTATACAGAAGATATAAGTACTAAAATTGAATGTAAACAATAAATAGACCATCTCGCATTTATTTTAATATAACAGCCCACTTTGTATAGCAACACGCAATATAATAATCACAGCGCGAGAATTTTAAAGAAACTTTTATTAGCAGAATGTGTAAAGGCGACTTACGTCTTCGGGCACAGACACCGTCGTATCACTCTCAAGAACATCATTAACCAAATGGACGGCGATCATCAATCTTCCGGGTTGATTAAGTCTCTTAATCAGTGGCGCGTAATTCTGAAGTTTTATCAGCGTGAGAATATTTTTGTAGTGATCCGCGGGTAGTTTGAGAATTTTCATCAGCTCTTTGAAAACAGCCGTGTTGTGTTCTATGTGGTCCTTTCCACTGTAAAAAAAATCTTTGTTAATTCTTAGGTTATGGTTAGGCTTGACAAGCTTCTTATGAGCCGAAAAGTAAAACTGACCAAATTGACATCCTTGGAGATAACATAACAGCTTATAAATAAATGCTTCTTAACTTTAGGCTACAGTTAACCTAAGTTTACTTAAAGAAATCTTATATTTATGCTGTCTGTTTAAAACCCAGTTATAATGCATTTTTAGGCAAAACTTGTATAATTTATGAAGTAGATTTGTAAAATTACATTGTACTCTAAATATCACGCACCTTATGTATAAAGTAATATGTAATATGTGTAAGCAGTGTATACCTTGTTTGTTGTATATCAGCACAAATCCTGTCAGTATGAGCCAAAACTCTATCCACATAGCTTAGCTTATCCGGGTGACAGCGTTGAGCCAGCTTTAATAATGCTAGTTGCAACGACAACATATCTTCGGACGGCATATCTGTACGACTCTGGAAAATAAGAGTTTTTTATTTAGACTTTTTTTCTAGAACTCTCCACACTTCTTAACTTATGTCCAATATTAAACCTCATGATAAATCCATTGAAGGGAAAAGATGATTGTCATGATAAAACCAATATATTCTCAGTTTTGATATTTAAGAATTAATGGTACCTGGGTAATAGCGGCGACCTGGTCTGAGAACACTTCAAATAGCTGAACTTCTTGCTCTTTTCCATCTTCTAGAACGACGCTTAGGTTAACGTTACCCTCGTTTCTCTGAATAAAATGTAATTTTCAGTAAATATTGTATTAAAATACAGATAATGTATGTAATAAGTACAAAATTATTGTATGCTATACTTATACTTTAAAAGGAATTTCCGTCACTTACCTGACTATATGCAGCCAAGCGTTCAATCAAAGCTATAATGATATTCTTTATATTAACACCGGGTTGCAACTCTGCGCAAGATTTGAGGAACGGTTGCAGATTGGCCAGATGGAACTCATCCGGGAATACCTAAAAGCACAAAATGTGACAAAGGGTTTTGTTATAGTTTTTTTAAAAATTCGAAAATGAATCGAAAAATGAATTGAAAAGGACTTCAACCGGTATCGTTAGCTTCGGTCTTGCCCGAGTCGAAAATTGTTTCCTTTTTTTTAGTAGTAAAAGGCTAATGTGCAATAACAAAATATAAAGTTTCAAACATTAAAAGTTTTTGTCAGTTCAAGAAAGGAGAAATGGGTAACGATTGTTAAAGTAGCCAATGTGGACTGAAATACAGCTTTCTCCCTCAAATAGATCATTTTTCAGAGTAATAATTAATTGGAAAAATAATACTTTACTGTACAAAAATAAGTAACATTCAATTACAATTACTAAACAGAATCTAAAATTGAAGTACAATTAAAGAGAAAATAGGTAAACTGTTTAATACCCAACAAGAAACAAACCTGTATTATACATTCCATGAGGTACTCCTGTGCTATAGCATCCCGACAGCTTACTACCTGCTCCAGGATTCCAGGGAGCACTAGTCTTCTATAGTCCTCGACTCCTACGGACTCCAATTGGGACAGTCTGACCAAATTAGTCCCCACTAAAATCCTGAGTTCTGAACGTTCACGTTCTCTACGCTCCTTATCTCTGAAAATAGACATCCAATGCTTCAAACAAACACCTTTAATAGTGCTTTAAATACTGAAAAAAAAAATTTTTAACACAATTTCTTATTTGTCATTGTAATAATGGAACTACTTATGCAAATGCTACAAAAGATTAATAAGAACGTTAAACAAAATCAGTGTATATTTTGCTTAGGATATAGGTAAGTAACTGAATAAGTAGACATGTAAATGATAGGGCAGGTTTTTTACTTTTGGTCTCCATAGCTTAATTATTAAAGCCTACATTGACCTGGGTTCAAATTTTGAAGAAACATTAAATGTATCTATTACTTCTTTAAGGATCATTAATGATACGTCTTAAAACTTTGTATATGATTTGTTAGGACTAGTATCCTGGACAAAGCAATAGAGGTATAAACTTACTTTATAGGCAAAAATACATTTTCTATGATGCAAGTAGTGAGCTTGTGAAGTAAGTTTACATGTTTATGATTTCATATGGATTATAAAATAAATGCTGGTAATTACTATTAGTAACCGATAATATTTAATTATTATAGTTAGTTGTCATTGGTTACTTGGCTTGTATATTTTGATGAAACATTTAATGTATCTATTGGGCTCCCACCTATCTATGACATTGTGGAATTTTAATGATTAATAAATAAATGTTTACCTTGAATGGCCTTGATGTTGCATTCGCACCCACAGCTTGTTCATTTCCGCGAAGTTCATAAGAACAAAATCAATTGCATCTCGCACCTAATAACCAAAGGAATTAAAGAACCCCTCATAATACCTTATTATATAATTTTTGTCTAAATATAATTAATATTAAATAATCTAAGAATGATTAAAAATACCAACCTCTGTAGCTAAACAGTTAAATGCTTTGTTTAGCAATAATATTTTTTTTCGTCAGATAAGGCATAGATTTCTAAACAACTTCTCGCTATTCAATTTAATGTGTTCACCCCATGCCACACATAGTTCATAATACAATGTGACAGAAAAGTATGAAAGTAATAATAAAAACTAAATAATACTAACAGTCCCTTCATTTTCATTTGGGGCTTCAGTGGTATCAGGCAAAATATTTCTTGTACACTGCAGTAAGTAGTTTCTCAGGAAGAGTCCTCTTAGAGGATGCTGTACACCACGGCACATCTCAACAAGATCCTAAAATGCATACAACTTTTATGAACAACAGATACATGCAAAAATTATCTGTTTGACAGTTTGTTCTGTTTCAATTTTATAGAATTCAATAACACAACGATATTGAATTTAACACAAAATTTATATTTGAATTATAGATTTTATTAAAACTTTTGGCAAATAAATCACCATACCTTCAATAGATCCCTTCGAAGGTTTGTATTAGTCTTGATATACACTAAACCAACAGTAATAAGCAGATATAAGCGTGGTACAATGTTACCAGCATATTGTACTAGCTCATATAAATCGGCAACCTTGCGACCCTTTTGAAACTCTTCAAGAAGGTAAAGCTCTAAGTGTCTTAGTTCATCCGTTATTGCCATATCTGTTATCATTAAGGAAATTATATTTTTGCTATGTTCACTTTCATTATACTTAAGTCTGGGTTTGAATCCAAAAAAAAAACGTTAATACTTTCTCTTGGTTAGACAAGTAATCTATTTGCATGTACATATAATTGTAAACACATTATCTTATTTAATATATTTACTACTAAAATAAAATGTGTACAAAGTTACTTCAACCTCCAAATAAAGCAAGACTATAACTAAAATCCTATCTTATCAGTTTAATAATAACATTAAAATAATTCAAAGGATACATAGCTCATAATAGCTTTTGGGTGATAAAAGAGAAGTCCTAAGCTCCCCCAGCATAGTAGATGCATGTTTAAGTGCGTCCATAAGTTTCGATTTGTCCAAACATCTTTTCATTTGGAAAGCCTAAAAGATATATTAACTCTTAGTTCATGCAAAGAAGATAATTTCATTAGGTAGTATATTAGAATAAATACTTTACTATGTACCTGCACTTTGACAACATTTAAAGCTTCTTCGAGGAGCTTTTCCTGCTCCTCTACTGGTGAAGCTTGGTTCGTCATCTCTGCCTGTAAAGTATTTTAATAATTGCAGGATAAATTCTTCCCGAACCTTAGTGAGCTATAATAGGTCGTTTTATTACTTAATCACACAAACCTGAGATCTATATATATGATATATATCGAAAATGTTTACTAATTTACTGATTTAGAAATTAAGAAAAATAGAAAACATTAAAATAGTGGGTGTATTTCATATGGAATTCCAAAGTTCCTAATACCTTAATTTACATTAATAAATGTTATTTACGTTGTGTCAATGTCAGTTTTGCGAAAAAAAACTTATCTGTGGCATATAGCAAAATAAAATTCCTATTCTTTATTTACTTTTTAAATATGACAATTGACATTAAGAGCCGTGAAGTTGAATTTCGTGGTTTAAATAAAAACATATTTCAGTATTTGTAAATAAAAACAAAATGCTATAATTATAAACAAGAAACAGAGTACCAGAAGAATCAATTAAAAATGGATAAACCTAACTTAAGCCAATATTTCGATGCACCCGAAATTCCGCCTGCTTCGCAATTCTTTGATGAAATCGGCACTTCTCCGTCTGATATGGTACAAAGTGTATATTTAGGTGATTCACAAGGTACCTAAATAAAAAAAAAACGGCTACTATAATAGCAGTAAAGATGTAAATCACAAATCATGTGATACAGTGCCCTAATAGAATTTAATTCTTCAAGGTGTGACTGCCTCATTCAACCAGCATAAAACAGCCCCTGAAGGTCCACCAACAGATATTCTACCTACTGTGAGTGGTTCCACTTCAATTCCTGTCACAAGTCTACCTGACCCTTCAACATTCTTTGACACAATTGGGCCTGAACCTCAGATCGGAAGTATTAAAACTAATCCTGGATCTGCAGCAATGATCACAGATGCTATGGATGGTTTAAGCATTAAGGTAACAAATTATTATAATAATTAAAGGCTATGCACAATATATTTTTCAGCTTTAGCTTTATTATTATCAAAATCAAGGCATTCTGGAAAGGCTTCATTTAATTACTACTATGTTATTTTGTTTTTTATAGGCACAATATATATATTTATTTATTTTCTACTTCATAAGAGAATAAAATATCATCATGATCCTTCAGCTCTTACTAGGACTTAGAGTAGTTGTTATAGTCAAGAACATTACAATACCTGTGTTCTTTCCCTATGTAAAAACATGATGCAAATTCGAATATAAATGAAATAAAACTTTTTATTGACGACATGTTTGTATTGTGCTAAGTATAAGCTTTTAGTGGTTAGAGCTACAGATCATATGCTTAGTAGCATTTAGCAAGAAAACAGTATGAAGTTAGAATTAATATGTAACTATATTTTAGAACCAACCTGTAGATAAAGAGGCAGATAGAAGAAGAGATGCTTGGATACCCAATGAAGAAGCAAAGAAAACACTTTTAAAGGTAATGTATATAAGAATTTAATGGTATCTCATATTTAATTAATAATTATCAATAATTGATTTAAAGGCACAATCATCACCAAAGGGTTCATTCTTCCCAGAGAGAGAAGTGCTGACTATGCCTGGAATTGTCTTAGAAGAGGAACTGGTAGGTTTTAATTTTTATATCATATAACCTTTTAATAAAACGGTTTTCAAACACGATATATATTAGTTAAAGGGAAGCCAACGTCACAGGGAGACAAATAAGGTTAATTAATAGATATTGCGAATTAAACCGTTACAGTGTTTTAGTTATTATTTTCTCTGAAAACTGTTTGGCCTATTATCACTTGCCAAACATGGTTGAAGCCTTGAAATTTTTAAGCTTTAAACAATTCTTATTTCATGATATTGTGTTTTAGGCTGATGCCCTTCAGGAAGTAGCAGTAAAGTATCTCGGAGTGAGTTCAGCGGGGAGTCGCGGAGTGGTCAGAGCTGAACATGTCAGCCGCGATGAAGCTGGTCTGCGGGAACTGTTGCGTACAGGTTATTTACGAGCCGCTGTCAACCTTACCGCTACGTTAATTACTGCCGCTGGCCAAGGTATTATTCCCTTTATTTTGTTGGTACAATACAGAGTAGAACTCAAAATGGTGGATTTTTTTATGATAGAGGAGGTTGGACAAGCATGAATTGATGGTGTGTGAAGCATCTAAAATTCTATTAAAATCTACAGACTAAAACCGAAGCGTGATTAAACTTCACAGTTTGTCCATCTGTGGACGGTTCGTGACCAGAACGGCATTTCGATATTCCTGCGACCCATTTAACATCCAGATTTTTAGCAAAGTCCAACATGTTACAGAGAAAATATGATTTACATAGATGGTGTATAATGCGGTAGAAACATAATTTATCTGTTATAACAAATATAAAATACCTATAATAATTATTTATTCATAGGTCCCGGCCGTATGCAACGCCCAACGAAACATACACCTCGCTCTTTGCAACTGTGGCTTACGAGATTTGCAGTTATGTTGCGAATTAAACTAAACGAACCTCTTGTAAAGGAGGCTGAACCGTTTGGAGACTTTAGCAAGCCTGATATGTTTTATCAGGTATGAAAAATACAGTATACAGTGTAAGTTACTTTATGTTTTGTCCCCTTTCTATGAAGTTTTTTGACAGTTGCACAACAAAGACAAAACACTACTTTTACCTTTATTTGAAACTTAGTAGTATTATTTTTTCATTGGACACCAAGAGGTGGCCGGGTCCATTGCTTACCATTTCACCCATTTCCCCTTTGCAGATGATATTGGGTTATCCAACCCTCCTTTTCCCTTCAAACCATCAGGTTTCTTTGCAAAATCTTAATATTTGTTCCATACAGCTGTAAGAGCTTATTTATTTGTGCATATTTTTTAATTAACAACGTTTTCTCCATTTTAGTTTTACCCTGATATATATGAGAATCGCAGTGGGTCGCTAGTTCCGTTCTCCTTACGGCTGCTAATAGCAGAACTACCAAGCCATCTGGGAAAACCTGAAGATGCCATGGACAGACTGTATGCAATGCTGCATGTCATACAAACAGTACGTTGTGGTAAAATAAACGTGTATGTGTGTGATTCGATGAAATGTTGTAATTTTTTAAATAAGAACAGTTTTTTTTATTAGGATTTTATATTGCAAATAAAGTTTTATTTTTTTTAGATGTTGGACAACCTGAATAATAACAGAACAGAAGACGGCAGTGGTGCCATAACAGAGGACGACAGAACTGAGTCAATGCGTTTGTGGTCTGGACGTCGCGTGAGAGTTTTACATTCTATTGTCAACTGTGCAATTGCATTGAAAGTAAGTTTGAAAATTAATAATAACTACTTATTGTTCTAGTATCTAATATTAAAAATATAACAGGGGAAATTACAGAGGCCGCTTTAGTAGCTTATATGTAAACCTAAAACGTTTTGTGTGTGTGTCGGTTTACTTCAAATGTCAAGCGTGAGGCAAAATAAATGATTTGGATTGATTAACACGAAACCGCACAGAGATTAAATTTTTTTAAACATATTCACCCATACTATAATAAAAGTATGCATTAAAAAATAAACATTATATATTGTACTAAATAAACATACTTATTTGGCTTCCGGAGTAACTTTTTTTACAGCAAATAATGTAATGCTGCAGTGAAAAACAACTTGGAGAAACTAGGTTGATTAAATTAGTATCTTGTGCATATTCTAAAAACCCGGCTGGATATACAATAAGGTTGATACAATTTGCTTTAGGACTACAGACTAGCAACAAATATAGTTACCAAGCTGCAACAACAGGCCACGACAGCGCAACAACAGCGCGCATTGTCCAGTGCGTTATGTCGTTTGCACCTTTTAGCGGGGAACATCGAAGCTGCCAATTTACATCTACAACACGCTAGGCTGACCAGACATCATTTGTAAGTATAATGGCAAGTAACCCGGCAGTATAACATCAATACAAGATTGCGCTGTCTTCTTATGGCTTTAAGCAGTCTGGAGTTCAGGCTCGGTCAAACCGAAGCGTAGAATTGATGATTGACAGATTTTTTTTATTCCATTATTTATATAATAATTGTGTATGTCCCATGCATTATCCAAAATGTCCACATTTTCTAGATGGAGTCACATGTAGCAAAAAATTATACAGGTTTTTAGGAAGACGCCGAAATCAGTGAGAATCGAACCCACGACCCATTAATTGTTAGCCCATACGACGTGCAACCGTTGCACTTATGAGCCAATTGAGGACAATAGAAGCTTTTAATTTAAATTCCTCGCGATTCAATTCCATAAATAACTAGATTTAAAATTAAACCTCATTAAAACAAAGCTGTAAGGGTTATAAATCGGTTTTTTTGATTTTTTTTAAACAGGTGCCCCACCCCTGACGTCCGCGAGTACGTGGATGTAGGACTAATAGATATTGCGCAGGGAAAATACCAAGAAGCGTATAATAACTTCGCTCGAGCTGGCGATCAAGAGCCGACCAATATTATGGTAATATTTGCTTCTCTTTATAATAAAACACTAACAGTTGGTTGTTAAAACGGTATATTAGGTAGGTTTTTGAAAAAAGTTTTAAATAATATATGTAGTTTAGCAAGTTAAAACATTTATTAAAAATTACTATATCGTTTAAAACTAAAGACATATTAAGATTTGTTCTCTTAGTAATACAGCAACCAAACATCCGTCTGAGTTGAAATTGAATTGTAAATAACTCTTACTATTAGATTTTGGTTTTAAGACGTTAGATAAACGCTGTGTGTAGTATACGTAAATTTGTAAATCATGTAAATAAAAAATAATATAATCGTATAAAACGAAATCCGAAATATTAGATTAAATATTTATTCTCTCAGGTCACTCTATTCACCCATTTTGGTGAATATAAAATTTTTATAGCCTGATTTTGCATTTATATTACAATATGTTTAGATGGGTTAAATCTTTAGTTTCCTGTTAACAGGTAGCAAACAACATAGCAGTATGTCTCCTCTACATGGGTCGCCTAAAAGAAGCAATATCAGTACTACAAAAGGCGATTCAATCCGATCCAGAACGCGGTCTTAACGAGAGCCTCCTTGTCAATCTATGCACATTGTACGAACTAGAATCGGCGAATACCGGAGACAAGAAGTTACATTTATTACGAATGCTATGCAAACATAAGAGCGACACTGTCCCCAACGTCGTGGAAGCCCTGAAATTGACTTAACTTTTTGTAGCTGGTAACATTTAAAACAGCAGAATGGGTAAAACTTTTGTCTTTAAGATATTTTCTTTAAGTGAATTATAATTAACTGTTACTGTAGATAATTATATATGTTAAAATATAAATATTCTAATCCAGACAATTTATTTTTTTATTCAAAAAAACAAATGTCCCACAATTCAAATATAAAAATGCATCACAAAATACTTCAGGAAAATCTCAACGTTTTTACAGCAGCAGCGTCAGCAGATCTACGCAGGTGCGCATTTTAATGAATTTGAATTTTGGTACACGTATATTCAAAGTATTCTCCACGCTGTGGTCCTTCGAGCCGGGTTATTATATATAATCATAACATGAGTGGGTGGCGCCAAATAGCAAGTTAGGATATAGCTTAGACCACCTTGGATTAGATCGCTAAGATCACTTTTTATTGATATATTTACGTAATATAATGTAATCGCGATCGATACGCAAATAATATCAGAATATTGCCTCCTATTCATTAAAATTTGTTTAACATTTTCTTAAGTAAACATTAAATATATGTAAGAAGTAGGATAAAAAATCAATATCCAACATTATAATATTTTATTTCCCTGCACGTTATTTCTGTTATTCAACATTATCTTCTCTTGTCGCTTCTTTTCCTCCTTAAAAGCTTCTTTGTTTGCCTTCTTCTCTATTCTCCTTTCCTTCCTGTATTCTTTGAGGAGGCGCTTGCGTTCTTTTTTCTCTTCGGGAGTTTCATCCTTAGGCCTATAAGTGTTAATAAATTATATATCAATCGGCTTTTACAGGTGACATAAAAAAGGTATAAATTGTAATTAAATATTTTAAAAAATGCAAACCTAATAGATAAAACGCTGAGGGTAGACAGAATTGTCTCTGCATTAGTCTCCCCGTCATCATCTGAACTAACACATTGTTCTTTATTTATTGCATTAAACTTTGCAAGAGATTTCATTGTCAACTTATTATCTTTTCCTAGTGTATCTTCCGGAAGACCTGTTTTTGTATTAATTTTAATTTTCCGTGATTTCTGTAACAATAATGTTCAACAGTTATGTACATTCAAATTTGTTTATGGAACTTCTAAGGGGTACCTAGAGTGCACTCTGATTTGATGAAAGTGAATAAAGATTCAAGTAAGTGTGCTTATCCTCCTCCGTTAAAAACAAACTCACTTTAGGCTCCTCAATAAGTTTAGGGTGATTGTAAAGGTTGGAATATGTGGATAGTATGGTCTCGCAGTCCCATTTATCTTTTGGTTCAACTTCAACTGTTTCAAGATCATCTTCTGACTCTTCTTCAATCTCTTGTAAACGGCGTAATCTACAAATCAACAAAATTTCTCTTGACTTCACTTTTTGCCAACTAACAAAGTTACGTAATATTATAAAACAGTAATTAATCTAACCATTTCAGTATAAATGATAGAATAATTCGAAATACATAAATATTATCTGTTTCTCAAATAATTTAAAAATTTGTCAAAAAACCGGTCAAGCGTCCATGCTTTTTTTAATTATTTTTTAACTATTACTAAACTATACTACACATATTTACATTGTTAATTTACAGCCTGTCTTGCCATATCTAAGAAAACCATCAGCCTCTCTTTCACTCACCTAGCAATCTCCTTCTCCTTATCCAAATGGTATTTCTTCTGTGACTCTTCAAACTCTTTTGCCGCATCTAGCAACATGTTATGCGTTTCTGGCAGGTATCCTTCTATTTCATCTAAATCTAATGGTCCCACTTCTGTGTCGTCATACTCGGCAAACATCTATAATGTGATTTGTGGAAATATTTTAAATGACTACTTCGAAGGTAGAATATCTTTTATACCTACTTTAGCTTCTTGGTGTAGATATAAGATCATATCTAGATTATATCTTAGTTAGTTGCATTATGAGAATAACTGATCAGCTCACAAAAACATTACATTGCAATTAAAAAAAAGTACTCAAAAGGAATAAAAATAGGAGGATTTGTAATCATACTCTTTCGAATCTGTTATCAAGCAAGGACAACCCCTGGTTACGACGAATGACACTAGATGACATGGAATATTGTGAAAAACGTGACTTTGTGTCATCTTTGTTACTCCACTCAGCCATACGCGGTCGTGCTCTATCCTGCAAATAATAATTGTTTATCATATTTATAAGCTCAAATTAATAACACATGTGGACAACACTTCTAAATACAGTGTAAACTCTTTATAACGTTAAACGATCCTTTATAGCGATTAGTGTTGACAAAAGAGTTTGTGTGATACATACGATTGAAAAGGGAGGAAAGAAAAGTGACGTTGGAAGGCGTTTTGAACTAAGTCAATCTACTGTTGCTACCATAAATTCTAGTTAATTTGGTTTTTTTTTGTTCACTCCATATAACGATAACTCTCTATAACGACAAAAAATGCTCAGTCCCTTGAGTTTCGTTATAAAGAGTTTACACTGTAGTTAGCATACTAACATTTCTATGATTTTCTAAAAAACGAATTCAATATTTATTGGAGTAATCAATACAATGAAAAACATTATTCACATATTAATATACTATTCCACCATTTGAGTGCATCTTAAACGTTAAACCTGACATATGTCCATAAAGACATTTCTATTTATTTTCAGTCTTAGGTTATATACTAATATGACAGACATCTTCATTTAAAATATAGCCTACCTGTGAGTCATCATCAGAATCAAGTTCATCATCAGAGCCAAAGGCTTCATTGGAGTCATCATCACTTCCCATACTGTCATCTTCATCATCAACATCCTCATCACCTGAACCTATAATTAGTAAATGAACATGTTATTAGTTGTCTGCTTTAAACTTATTCTAAGCTACTTAACCCAATAAAATAAATTTCTCAACACCTATCAGAATAGAAATGCTGCAGAACAGTAAAGAAAAAAATCCCTCATAAGTACTGTCAATTTCTCAAAAAGCATGGTCAACAGATGGATAAACTAGTTTTTTATTTACTTTAGATTTTTTAAATAATGCTGTGTATCATATTAAATACTAAAAAGGGGGGGGGGGGGGGGTGGGGCCTCCCCCCCCCCCCCCCCCCCCCCCCCCCCAAACCCCCCCAAATGTGGAAAAAATCACCTTCACCCATAGCTAGTTCTATAAAGTTATCTTCCAGCTCATTGTCTGGGTCCTCAAAATCAAAGTCTTCATCTAGAGCCGCAACTACTTCGGGATCCAAATCCAAACAGAGACCTAGGAAAGAGTAAACAAAGGTATATAATATGTTTATGAAATCCTGTTTTCCATGAGTAGATTCTAATTTTAAACAAATTTCCGCATTGGTTTCAATGATTTATGTGCCCTATAATTTCTTCCCAGGATTTAAACCCAGAACCAATTAGGCTTAAAAGGAGTCTTCAATAAAAAACTTCAAAATTTTTTTTATAATAACCTTGTGATGCAGCCTTATTCAATAAACCAACATTTTCTTCCACTTCAGACGCAAATACAGAGCTTGGAAATTGTAATTTTTCTTTAATTTCTTCCTCTTTAACTTGCTCATTTTCTTGAGAAGTTGTCTGATTTCTTTTATGTATTGGTTTCTGGAATATACATTTTATTTAAATTTTTACAAAAATATTATATAAAAAAATAAAAAGGTGTGAACTAAATTTATTAGTGTTTCTGTGTACCCTCATCTCATAGCAAATTACATAAATCCATACATAAATATATATAAAATATCTTAAGATTCTTAAATCATGTGTGTAATGTTATATTTTCTATGAAGGTTTTTAGTAAACTTTTACGTCATATTTTATTAAAAAAAAAAAAAAAAAAAAACGTTTTTAAATTTTTGTAAAAACAAAAAGTATAAACTGCTATGATTTAAAAGAAAACTTTAATAATTTTTAAGATTGTACATACTATATAGAATATAAAAAATATATTTTGTCAGTCTGCATACATGCCCGTGTATAAAAAGAATAAATTTAAACCGCAAAAAAAAAAGCTCGGCTGGCCGGGACTTAGACATAGTTTTTTTTTGTAATTTGTGACGTTTTGGTTACTTGATGTAGTAATTTTTATACTTACAGGCTGTACCACTAAAGTGACCTCTTTTGTATCCTTCAAATGCTGCAAGTAGTTATAATCATCATCAAAGTAGATACCATATTTACGTTGTTCCTCTTTTTGTTGTTCTGGTGTTAGTTCCTTAGAAAAACATAAAAAGAAATTACATTTAAATCTAAAATTAGGTTAGTATAATCTGTAAAAGTTTAAAATATCCTATTATCTCCATAACTATGGCTGCTCTGCAAAGCATCCAAAAAGTAGGATCATACTTAATAAGTTAACTAAAACATTTAGCATATTAGGCTGTTAAACTTGTTTAATTTAACATTTACTTTCTAGGTTATTTGCTAATATTGAAAACTTACTAGTTCCTTTTCCTTTCTAGATGGTATATTGGCATTTACAGGAACTAAAACACGTTGAGGTGCTGTTTCATCAGCTGCAAGAGGATCTCTTTGAGATCTATGAACCAAATTAAAAGTGACTGCTTTCTTACGGTCTATAAACTTCTTCTTCGCCTTAGGCTGAAACAAAAACCATGAAAAGAACTTCTACAAATATGAAGAAATTATTACAGCTAACCACTACGTACCATTTTTATGATTCTTTTTTTAAAATTATCTGAGAGGTAGGACTGTGAGAAAACGTGTTTATTTTGGAATAATAAAGGAAATGTCAAATACGACACTGACATAAGTGCCGAGAACTGACTGTACAGTGTAGACAACGATTTGTTGTTCAGATTTATGTATTTTCTACCTATTCCGACTTATTTTTAAAATAACTAATTAATTCAAAATTAGTATATGATTATATCACACATTACTATCATTGTATTACTTAGATCTATAGTTGTAAATAGAGTATTTTACCCATAAATAATAAATATTTTTAAGTGATGGCAATTTTCATTCTAGCGTAAATAACCTCTCAATTTAAATTGCAGAATAATTCTATGTATCAATGTAAATACAAAATATAATTAAATAAACATGCTAGTATCTAAAAATGTCAACGGTCTCTACAAAAAATATATTATAGTGACCACAAGGTGGATTGCTGTTAGTTGCAAAAGGACAAAAAGTTCAGCTGAGCCCAAAACGAAAACTTATTCACATACTATTTTATTTCCGAAAACTAACTTCCCTGCAAGACCTAATAAAAGCGACAAAAACAATATACAAAAGGTAATTGTACGCCTCTTAAAAATGAAATAATTATTAAGAAATATATAGCACGTATTTGATGCTATTTACTGACTATCCATTAAATATTGTCAAATACAGGTAGGGAAGTTTGCTGATTTATATAACTGGCAAAGAGTAAATTTAAAGGGACCAGAGTTTGTCCTGCACGATGGACCACCTTATGCCAATGGAGACTTGCATATGGGACATGCTGTAAATAAGGTGATATTAGAAATTCTTTATTTGATACACTGTTATCTATTATCAATTGCAAAATACTGTGTAAATAAGTACAATTAAAATATTTTTTTCAAATTCTTTCTTTTGAATCTAATCTAAACATAATGGTATAATGTATTGTTAAAATATCTTAGCTTCTATACAAAATTTGTGGTCTTTCAGATAATAAAAGATATAAATAACAGAAGCCAAGTTCTGCAAGGTAATAGAGTCCATTATGTACCAGGCTGGGATTGTCACGGTTTACCCATTGAGTTCAAAGCACTACAGAAAGCTAAAAAAGCAAAGGATAATGAACCTTCTAACCCTGTTAATACGAGACAAATTGCTAGATCATTCGCTTTGGAAACTGTGGCAAAACAAAAAGAGGTTTGCAGTTCTAATTCTTATAAAAAGTGTATATACTAACCTTCATACTAAAACATACTTCTTTAGTATTGCTACAAATAAAAATTTTCAGGAATATTTGGGTTTGCATTAATTCCTTTCTATGTCAAGATTTGTTGTACAATTTTTCATTTCATTTTTTTGTAAAAATGTCAGCCTGATAAAATAAAATATTTGTAGACATTTGAAAGTTGGGGTGTTATGGCAGACTGGCAGAAACAATGCTATCTAACGTTAGATACAAAATACGTACAGAATCAGTTGTGGCAGTTCTATAAAATGTATAAAAAAGGACTGATATATAGAGCCTTGAAACCTGTTTATTGGTCACCTTCCTCGAGGTTGGTACTTTATTTTTTTATTGAAATTGTATCAGTAAAACTTAAAAAAATTACTAGACTAGAACATATCCTTACTGCTGACTTAAATTGCAATTGAATAGAACTTTGTGACCTATTTTATTAAAATTTGTTATATTAAAAATCTTTCAGAACAGCCCTCGCTGAAGCAGAGTTAGAATATGATCATCAGTACAAAAGTCAAGAAGTTTATGTAGCATTTAAAATGCAGAACATACCAAATGTAGTGCACAATGTTATTGGTAGGTAAGTTTCAATGCATTTTGTGGTATGGTGTTCTAGAAATACAATTACTGTTCTATAGGTCTCAAATAAGTAAAAAAAATTGATAATGATATTATTTTTTTATGTAACAATATTATACTTTGGAGCTTAGTTAGGAATATGTTTTATATTAAATTTTAAAAGAATATTGAAAATGATTCAGTATTTTTTTTATATATCACCCATGTAATGACTTCTGTTCAAGATTAACTTATATAACTACTAACTTAAAAAATTTCATATCCCAGTCTATTCTTTTTATGAGGTCACATTCAATATATAATTTTTTCCAAGTTCAAATCAAAATTTGGTTGACAATGCATTATAATTCTACCAACCACAAATGAACTGAGTGCTTGTCTTTTGTTTGTCTATCATAAAGAGTTAAATTACAATATAATGTTGCAGCCAACCACTATCAGCTATTATCTGGACAACAACACCGTGGACATTAGTAGCCAACAAAGCAGTAGCATACAGTTCTAGCATGGCCTACTGCGTAGTCACCCTTGGCAAAAGACAAGGCTTGTACCTCGTTGCCAAAGATCAGATTGAAGAGATAAAGAATGTTCTTAATGCTGATATTGATGTATTATGTGAGTTTGAAGGTAATAATTTTAGTTAAGGTTTGGTATGAAATTATTCTGTAGGTATTCTTTGAGGAAGTTACAATTAGCACAGCGTCGAATAAAAAAATAACATAAAAAGGTATCTATAAAATAAGTAAGTAAAATTTTATGTGTTTATTTTTAATTTGTTTTTGTATAATCTGGCTGTAAATTTCACCTTCACCCTTGATCATCACATTCACATCCTTGAACAACAACATACTTATTATTGTAGGAACTAATCTTCAAGGCAGCACATACAAAAGTCCATTATGCAATGAAATTCGTCCATTTCTTGAAGCGGAACACGTGACGAAGGGAAAAGGCACAGGATTGGTGCACACTGCGCCGGCGCATGGACCTGAAGACTTTCTTGTAGCACTGAAAAATAACTTTACTGTTGTAGGTATTCAAACTCTTTTTATGTTATAATATAAAAATACAATAATTAAATACAAAAAAGGTTGTTGTTTAAATAATATATTTCAGCAATACAAACTAAACAATTCTTCTTTCTAATAGAGGAGAAGAATTTAGTCCTATTAACGAATTTTTTTTTTTTCTAGGAATGCAATGTAAATGAAATGGGCTGCTACACTAATCTCGGTCCAGATTATGATAATCTTCCGGTCTTGACAGACGGCCAGAAAGTTGTCTTAGAAAAGCTTTCCGACGTTATTCTCCATCAGGGCGTTTATGTTCATTCGTATCCCCTGGATTGGAGGACTAAAAAGCCGGTCATTGTTAGAGCAAGTCACCAATGGTTTATAGATACTGCTGCTTTGAAGGAAAGTGGCTTTGGTAAGTACTTTTTTTATAGAGGAATATAGATAAGTGGACATGATAAATGGATCCATTTAATGGAAGGTAAAATACCTCAGTCACATAACATCTAAACAAGATACACTGTTGACTGATTCTAGCATTAAACATTAAATCAGAAACTAAATCACAATTATTTTAGTGGACCCTTTATTTTTATATTCACACGACCCACTAAATGTCCAGAAGAATGGAATATGTAAATAAATATAGGAAAATGTTGCAATTAAATGTGTTTTGGAAAAATTTTAACATGTTCAATTCGGTGAGAATCAAAATCACTACTCGTGATTATTACCAATACATTGCCTCCATTCATATTATTATATTTACTAGTAAAGAAATTGAAGAAATGTTTGATAAAAATAATTTCATTTTATTGTTTATTTTTGTGCATAATACCAAAAAGAAGTTAAGAATCCAAATAAATGAACAACCAAGTCTCAATAGATTTACTCTTTTTATTTGTACATTATTTTATCGTTTCGTCTTAAATGATGATAATTTTCAGGCAGCCCTAGATAAAGTGGAATTCTTGCCGCCATCTACAGCAGAACAATGCAGACAGAGCTTCAAAGCTCAACTTGAAAAACGGCCATATTGGTGCATATCCCGGCAGAGGGCGTGGGGCGTTCCTATTCCCGTGTTTTACAGCGGGGGTCGAGTTATAGTGGATGAGTGAGTTATACCGCCAATTTTTAAATTCAAACTTATATTTAATCTCACAATTTATCTTCAATAACGGCTTAAAACATTATGATGCAAAATAACGGTTTCATGATGTATTAAACAAGATACAGAAATATTACCTAGTAAAAAAAAAAAATTTTAAATTTTTACATTCTCATTCATTTTATATATGACTACGACTTCGAATTTATGAATACGTTACGTTACGTTTCTGATTATATTATATTAAACTAAGACTAAACTTATACTTACTTATTTCTTTTTATGGAAGTATTAACTTAACAATTGCCAAGATTCGTTCTAGAATATAGATTTATGCAATTTTTTATTTTGTGTTTTTAACCATCACGATAATTTTAGCGCGATTATAGAAAGGTTATGTCAGCTAATACGGAAAGATCCCGACGTTTGGTGGACATGTGACGTCACGGATGTGATACCCAAAGAAGTATTAACTAAATACAAACAAGATGGACAGGACATTGTTAAAGGAAAGGTAATATGTATTAAATATTTTATATGTTAAATAAATACAAAAACAAGTGTCAGACGTTCGAACCTCGGACCTCGTAACTGTATTTATACAACTTATTGATAATAACTGTATGTTACAAATACAGCTATTTATCTACCTTTCTTGACGATTGTGATTTTCATTTTTTATGAAAGAGGGCACACAAGCATAATGCTTCGCCCTTGATGGAAGGACGCCTCTCAACAAGGTGCGCTGCCGACTTTTTTCGCTTTGGAAATTCAGAAATCTACAGATTTAAATCAAAATTAGATTAAAGTTCACAGCTTTTTCATCTGTAAATGGTAGTTCGTCGGGAATTTCAATATTCCTACAAACTATTTAATATCCAAATTTCCAGTCAAAGTCTAATATGTTTAAAAAAATTATAAATTCTTTCGAAACGTGTCGCACTTGGTGGGAGTCGAACCGACGACCGACATTGATTATAAGACAAACATAGCAACCATTAGGCCAATGTGAAGATACAAACAAACAACCCTATTCTCACTAATTTCTTTGCTTTATATAACTAGCTACGTCAATATTCTAGGATATCATGGACATTTGGCTGGACTCGGGCCTATCTTGGCAAACACTCGAAGGTCGCAAGTCCAAGTTATATTCGGAGGGCGTAGATCAATTAACGGGCTGGTTTCAAGCGTCCTTGCTAACGTCTATAGCTTTGAATAACGATGCACCTTACGAGTAAGTCTGAAATGTATATAGAAAACTTTGCTCGAGAGAAGCCCATAAACAAAGACAAAAAATGATAAACAAACAAATTTTCTCGTTTATAATTTTGGTCAGATGGTCATTGTGCAGGTTTTTTATTTATTTCACAGTATTAAGTACAACCAAACATTAGAAGCCTAAAAAACCTTTGCAAGTCTCCTGACTGTACAAATATAATGCTAAGAACCTTGTCCTTTATTATCAATTTAAAAATATAAATTATTTAGGTCTATATTCGTCCACGGGTTCGTAGTCGATGAGAAGAAACGGAAAATGTCAAAGTCGATAGGAAATGTTATAGATCCCATCACTATTATACACGGAGATAAGAAGCAACCAGCGTATGGAATTGATACTTTAAGGTGGGTTTTAGTCTGGTCTAGTATGGTACTCTTGCTATTGTTGATAGTTCTGTAATGCTGATGTAATCTGTTAAAAAAAAATATTATGTTTCAGATGGTGGGTTGCCAGTCATGGTACACAACATTCCCAAATAGTAATAAGCAAAAAACTTCTAGAAGACTGTCAATCTGAAGTTATTAGAATAAGAAATATAGTTAAATATCTCCTTGGTGTTATCGGTGATTTGAATAATACTGATTTTTATAAAACACCAAATTTAAATTACTTTGATCAATATATGGTAAATGAATGCCATAACTTCTTAAATCTAATTATTGATCATTACAATAATTTTAGATATAATTACGTCGCACAGTCAATTTTGCATTTTATCAGTAATAAAGTCTCCGGGTTGTATTGTCATTGTATAAAAGATAGATTGTATTGCTCGCCAAAGGCGTCAGAAGAAAGAGTTTCTGCTCAACTAGTAATTCACACAATTATGGCAACACTGTGCAAGACTTTAGGACCAATAATACCGCATATGGTGGAAGAAGCGTGGCAACACCATCCGATGTGCCAAGAACCGTTCCACTTCACGACCGAGCTGTCACTTTTGCCGCCAAAACTTGTTGACGAGTCTGTGATGGACGCCATTTTGGATTTAAAGAAGGAAATCATTCATGAAGCAAAAAATGAGAATTTGAAGAAATTTCACGTAGATTTAAAAGTAGATGGCCATTTGTATTCAAAACTACAAGAAATTAACCAGAATGATGGTGTAAATGACAGTGTTTTATGTGAAATACTAGAGGTAGCTAGTATTAAATTGGCAGAAATTCAAAATGGCGCAAAACGAGAGTTAAATCTTTGTATTAGTGAAAATGAGCAATGCTTGCGTTGTAGAAAATATAATGTAATGACAAATAGCGATAAATGTTTAAGGTGTGAGAAAGCACTAGATTTGTTGTAAAGTATTTAAATTTGTTATATTATTAAAATGTATGCAAATTAGTAGTCAAAAGTCTGCAGTAACAAAACCACTTTTTTTCGTGACATCGACATCTAAACCACACATATATAGACTTACTATTGTAATTTAATCGCTAATGATATTAAGTATACCAACATTGTAAATGTTTTGAGAAAAATACATCAAACCTGAATTATGCAGGTGAAAATGTTGTTTATTCATTTACTTTTCCTTTGTATCACAGCGTTTTAGTAAAATATCTTTAATATTTGTCAACCTTTCATCCATTTTTAATCTTCATTCACAGTGTCGAACTTTATGGAACAATGATCAGTTATTAAGAAGGTCTCTAAGAAAAGAAAACAATTTTTATCCATACAGTAATTTAAAAAAATGGTATGGATATAAGTCAAAGCTTTTCGCCAGGTCTAAAATGGGCATTGGTGGTTGCAGCTTTGGAGGAGTACATACGTGTTCCCAAGGCTCCCTCGAAAGCGCCGTAACGGACTGATTATGTGAACTTTGATTTTTGATCGATTTGTGTTTAGTGGTTCTGGTCGGCTATTGCCTGCGACGAGGTTGTAGTACGATTAACTAAACTCCCCATGTCACTATTGCCCGACTGGAGTGTGCATTAGGAATTCACACCATCAGTTAAAAAAAATAAGTCATAGTTGTTCGATTTAACACATTTGTCGTTTAACGTGTGGATAGGCTCATTTCGTTCCAGTAATACTGGCCCTTGTAATTGACACAAAAGACTGCTTCGATATAAACAACTTCCCTGACATTATCATGGGTTCTATCCCCACCGAAACCAATATTTTTCTAATAATTTTTCTGAAACTTTTTGGACTTCGTCTGGAAATCTGGATATTAAATGGTAGGAATATCAAGATGCCGTCCAGGCCACGACCACAGATAAAAAAGCTGTGAAGTATAATCGCGTTTTCAGTCTTATGGATTTCCGAATTTTGTAAGCCGAAAATAGCTCGCAGCGCATCGACTTAAGATGTTATATGGCTAGGGTAAAAAAGATGTTACATATGTATTTTGAATTCCTACTCCAGTCCAGTTGGTACACAGTATAGTAATACGCTCGCAATATTTTATTATAAAACTTTCCTAGCGTCTTCTTAAGCACACACTGTGGGCCTCCGAGGTTATTACGTTTCAAACAAGTCGAGTGGATTCCTGAGACATAAAATGCCTTAAGAACTATTTATTTAATATACCTCGCTGCAACGTGAGTTTCGTACTTGGTATTCTGATATGAAAAATGAGCATACTGTTCTATTCTTCATCCGTTTTTCTATATTTTGTTTTGAATACGTTGTCCCTAATGTCTTTTGTTTCAAATGGATAGGGACAATGTATTTTGGATACATAGTTCATTTTTTTTTGTCTTCAAGCATAGTATATTATTTATTTTATTATACAACTTTATTCTAATCCTTATATATAACATGGATACAGGATTTAAATTGTCAGGTTTAAAGTACGGAGGCGCGATATTTTATTACAGCGCCATGTAATATAAAATCTTTTAACTAAGACTTAATTTTTACTTTTAACGTTATTTTTCTCTTCATGATTTCGAAAAACACAAACTAAATCGCTTTATTTAAAGCGTACCACATTTCTATATTTTTATAAATTCAAGAACTGGTGTATATCGATAAGAATTCTGGCACATCACTAGTTTCCCTATTATATCCCCCGTTGTGGAATACAGTTAGCAAAATAGAAAGCTCTGAGTGCAATGTTTGTTTACGCGGTAACCGTATTAATTCAACTACTAAGTCCCCTCAGCCCTTCTGTCTAACTTGTCTAACTACCGCCACCTGCGACCTACTGTTTGTGAAATAGCTTTCTAAACAATATGTACTGAAAATGAAAGATTAGTTAGCTTATAATATATTTTTGATACGCATACTTATATAAAGTACTGTGCGTATGCACTTACAGTACTTTCAAATAAAGAATAATTCTATTCGAAATTCGAATTTAGGATTACAGCTAAAGCAACACAGAAAGCTGTTGCAGGGGTTTAAGCAATTAGTTATTATTATTAGTTTATTAATTGTAGTGAAGTGTTTTTTATTACTTTCAATGATTTATGTATTTATAAAAACTTATTCTACCCTTACATGGTAAAAAAATCATAATAAGTTAGAAATACTAAATTACATTATAAATGTACACCAAAAAAACATATTTTACGAAGTGATGTTGGAAGGACTTTATAGAAAGTAGCCTTCCAGGGAGGATTGTATGATTTTATATTCTTATGATCCCTTAAAAGGTGGTGGGAGTATTCTTGCCCACATAAACTGGGAATAGTTACTTAAGAAATGGACTTACGTTAACGTTGCGGTGGAACCTCTCTCACTTGGCTTTTGTTGCTTGTTGATCGTAAAACACTGTAGGGTCGACCCTTTCCGTACATCGAATCGTTTTATTCCAGCAACTTCGATAGCTGCTGCTTCTTATGAAAACTCGTGCGTCGTTCCGCGCCGGCGCTTAGGCTTGTACAAACCGTAAACACGAAAGAGGGACAGATATAGAATAGAGTGAGAGTAGAGGATAGTCTATGAATCCAGAACAAATGTTTGTGTCAATTCAGCCAAGCTGCACGTGAAAATGTCGATCCCCTTCTGCGGCTTGTTGATATGCTTATGTTGGGTTTATGTTGTTCTGAGTTAAATCCTTACAAAAATACATTTATTAACCACAAGCAACACATAACAAATATATGAGTAAAATTTAGATATTATAGTAAAAAATAAATATTTAATCGGAATATTAAGACGCTAGCTTAAGATCTAACTAAATATAACAGGTCCTGAGTTGACCTGAAAATGAATTTTTGTTGTTGACATTTACTAACGTGTAAGGTGTTTAAAGTGGACTATTCAACACCAAACACTATGAGCACATAACAAGTACCTCTCTAAAAAGATTTTCCTAATGTTTCTAGAAAAGAAGTTTCTTACCTTTTTGAAATTAAAACAATTAGGGTAGTACGAACTTTGACATTCAAACTCAAATGTACAATGAAAACATGGCGTAACATCGAAAAAAAATCAGAAATAATTCACATAATGACAACAGTTACATAGTCTTTTTAAAACCCTCCAAATTGTTCCGGATACAAAAAATGGGCAAAGTCCCATACTATACAGACTCTGAGGAAACTGAAGACACATCGAGCTCAATCGATAACGTCAAGAAAAAGAAGAAGTTATCGTGAGTAACATATTTGGGCTTCTTCTAAATTTCTACATAAAAAGGTCTGTAAAGTGAGTTGTACTTTCAAGCTGTTTTGTGGATGAGGGACAGGAGACCTTGGCTCCACTCGTAGTTGTAGATCGTCAAGACCCATTTCTCAATGACGCCCAAACAGCATGAAATCCTTAGTTGTTTTAAATACTTCAAACATATATTACATTTACAAACATCAAATGTTACTGTAACGCATTCTTGATGATCAAATTTCTTAATCCTCTCGTGTTTCCTTCTTTACAATGTGATTCAATATTATTTATTTAGTACCACATTAGGTATATTTTAAGCACACAGAAGTTTGGTCTCCAAGACGTGCTTATTTTCTCAGGATTATTTCCCTTATCTGAAAGTTCGTATCTGATTAAACTAACATGGTTTTGAAAAGAGAACAATACAAACTACCATAACTTCTATTTATGTGAATAAATTATCGTTAAAACATTTTAACGCAGAATTCTAAAGTACAACGGCGGTAACCTGCGGAAGAAGAAATGCAAAGTCCACAGCAAGTCGGAGCCAGAAGAAAGCGAACACGCTTATTACAGCAACAGCAAAAGCAATCAACGGTTTGGTCAAAAACTACGAGGAATATTAAAACACACTGAACATGAGTGTAAGCAGTGTTTTGTTTTTTACCTTATAGAAAGCAAGCTATATTACTATACTATAAGCTATCTATTACTAGTTATGGCGGCTACTTCCTCTGAGAGAATTAGAATAGTAGCGTAGAAATAAATAAATTAGTTTTTCAATTGAAACTGGTAGCTCCTAAAATTAGCGCGTGCAAACAAACTCTTTATTTAAGTTTTATATTTAAATAAAACACTTTAACGGTTTAAAACGCGATATATTCGTTAAAAACAGCCGTGTCTCCCCGTGACCACGGCTGCTGCAAAGCATCCAAAACGTCGGGGCGAAGTTAAAAATCATTTTCAAATAAGTTTAACTAATATATCGCGTTTTAAACCGTTAAAGTGTTTTATTTAAATGTGTACTACTCGCGTAAACTATAGACAGTATTTAAGTTTTATATTATAAGTAGTCCATTAAAGTGGGTTTTGTCTTTAACATACTATTTTATTTCTTCATTATGAGGAAACTAGTAATTTTTCCTAGAAGCAAAAAATTGGAACGAGCAACAGCACGAAACGCTGACGATGCCGGTTCAAGTCCTGCCGAGTCGAAAAGTTTTTCAATTTATTTTCGATTTTTAAATTATAGAGTGTAAGCTCTGTAATTTTTTGATCTAATCTAAGCATTTAAGCAGTTTTAGTAGTTAGATTTTTATGTTAAATATCTGCAGTTATACACTATAAGTTGAGATATTTTAATTAAATGCAAATAGTTAGTAGTAAATGTATTAGCTACAAAACGCGCAAAAAAATGCTTTGTTGTCTTACGATTCGTAGTCGGTACCTCCCTCCTATTTTTTATAATGCTTTACTTATAATATGTATCAGTATTGTAGAAATAATGAATTCTATAATAAAGCAACAGCCTCCGATGATGATGATGAAAGCGCATCAAGCCGTGTCTTCAGCTCGGGCCATCGCTACCTCGTGGGACGGGTTCCTAGGCCTGCAGGGGCGAAACCAGGGCGTGGAGGTGGTGTCGCTATTGTTGTCAAGAAGAATGTAAATGTAAGGGAGGTTATGCAAAATTTACTTAGCTAGTATATATTCAATTTTAAGACCCTTTATAGATTTCAAAACTTTATTTTTCAAATGTGCCCACGATAGAACTATATAGATTAAAAATCGAATCTACATAAAAAAATGAAATCCGACACGGGTGGGCATTGAACCTACATTCATATACTTTATTATCTCTAAAATTATTTAGACTCGTCAAAATTATTTTGTTTCTCTGTCTGTTCGTCGTGATTCTACAATGTTCAAAACAGCGACATAACTGAGAAGAACACCCAAGAAACTCAGTCCGGCTTTTTTTAACATGTCTTATAAACTGTTTGGATTTACATTGTTGTGGATTTATTAACCTAAGGAACTATTACTGATATTACTGCCAGGCGGTCTTATCATTAAAGAAATCGTTCCGACAATAATACGCCTGGTAAACGTACTGGTAAAGTTATAAACTTTTTGAAAATACGAACAATAAAGTTTTTGTTTTTTTGGATACCTAATGCCTAGTTCAACCAAATCCCGCCTTTTGAGACAATCAAATTTTTTTAAATTTATTTATCGATAAATTTAAAACCTCAACCGGCAATGTAATATACATATGAAAACATTTACCCGCAAATTAGATATTTTATGGAGCCTATATTTGGGGATAGCTAGGTTATCCTTATTTCATAAGTTTAAATTATGCCTATCACTATTCTTGCTGAACTTGCTTTTATTCCTATGGGCATATAATACACTTTTATAAATATACATGCATGCATTAACCAATTAACACGTAATCATTGGATTTTTTTACGCGTGTCGTAATTTTTTTCCGTCTAAAATCTATCCTTAATCTTTATGAATCGTAACATATTTTTTTTTAAATTTTCCAACTAGGAATAATGTGTTAGCTAACTAGTGGCAATTTAAACAAATTATTTTTAAAAATGTGTTTATAAACAATTGAATTTATAAGAATAGTACTTGCTTTACTTACCTCTCAATTTCTGAAGTAACAATTTTCCAATAAAAAAACTAGATTACAAATAATCATATTTGTAATGTGTTTGAATAATGTGAGTAATGTTTGACGATAAAATAAAATTATTATAGACAAGCCTTTCTTAAGTAGAGTTCATTTATTATTTCAGAACTTACAACCACAGAAATCCACGAGCAGTACCAAGAAGAAAAAGACAAAACGCTTACTGAGAAAGCAGTCTTACTAATTACAATAAAGCTTTGCCTGTTTATGTGCAAATTAAGAGCAAGTTTTCATTCCATTTAGTAAATAAATAATACCTATAAATATATATATCCGCTTCTACGTTCCACATATTTCGGCTGTCATACCCTAAATGAGATTTAGAAAATATAATTATCTAGAACTTATTTTACAGGTATGATTAAATGGAGTCATTAAACAATTTTGTCTTTGAAAACTTTATTATAATATAAATAATATACAGTTTATATACATACTAAATACATCTCATTAGATACAGTAGGAAGATCTCAACAAAGGCAAATATTTAAAACATAACAATATTTTATCTAAACGCAAGAACAATGCGTCGTTTCACGTAATGAGAATCCTTTTAAAATAATTATTTTCTTAAACCGTGATAAATACAGGGACCTCATTTGTTTTCTGGTTTCCTATTTAGTAATGTCAGATTGTATTTGTATATGAACTGGTTTAATTACGATAAGTAATGTAAAAGTTTAAAACCAAAACAACAACAAAAATTTCATATTTAAGTTACTGTTTAAATAATAAATCTTCAGTTAATATGCGCAAATTAGCTAGGTTTAAGGTTAACGGTTGGAATTAAATTATGCACAAAAGAAATAACAATTGTATAAAACTTATTAATTAACTACGAACACATTTAAATTATGTTACAATAACAATGCAGAAAAATAACATACCAAAACGGCCCGATGTTTTGGATGCTTTTCAGCAGCCGTGGTCACAGAGAGAGTTTAACTTATATATTTCGCGTTTCAAACCGTTACAGTGTTTTATTTAAATGTGTGCTCGCATAAACTACAAACAAAATTCTCGTAGCGACTTTTCGTAGCATACAACCCTACGCGTAGGTGTTGCTACGTAATATGTTACGAGTGGTGTGCTACGAATAATAGAGATTGTGATGACGTGTGAGTGTTTTGGTATGAGATAGTTGGGATAATTAGCAATCGAATTTCGTTGATTTACGTTTAGGATTTTGCATACTGAAATGAGAACTGAAATTGAAATGAGAAATAATGGTTGTATAATCCGTACTAAATTCTATGAGTGAGAATGTGTTTGTGTGTCGGGTCAACATTTAGCAATTTAAATATTACATATTGTTCAAAAGCGTAAATTTAAAATGAATAAGCTGAATTATAAATAGTGAACCATTGTTTGAGTATAAATAAATGAATTTGGTAGGGAAATGTTTCCAATAAACCAATTTGTTTTATATATATTTGTACAAGACAATGTGTCTTTTCATAGCCGTCAATTAATGAAATTTCTTATCACCGATTTAACTTTATCTGTGGCTGAATTCTTCTTCCAACTTAAACATAAATTATACATTCTAAATTCAAAATTTTAAAACACATAATTGATTTATAGTTTCCATATTTGTCTATGAGTGATAATCACAATTTTTCAAATGCTCTAACTAGAATTAAAACTATTATAATATGTATGTATTTTGAGGTTGTAGGTGCTTTATAAAATCTTATTTTTTCGTGTATAATATTTTATAACATAGTGCTTATATATCCTGAATAGTTATAACATTTATATGTTAAGTGATAAAATGTATTAGGGTTCGCTACTTTTAATGTTATTAAATGTAAGTTTAAATTTAGTAATTATTATTAGACACTTCTCACAGATAGATTTGATGTAAATGCTCTGCGTACTCGAGATTAAGACAAATACATATGTGGTTAGGATTTGGACGAAGTAACAGAAGATGACATCAAAGAATCAAATATGGAACGAATAGTAAATTTTTGCAAGCAAACTGAAAGGTTTAAAGGGGACACGGTGAGAGTTGGATAATGCAAAAACCTGTGTACAAGGAGGAGATGGAGATATTTGTGACATGGTCATCTGATGGTGTGGACTGATCGCCGGCCTACTATGCGTGTCCCCGATATAAAATAATAATAAACATTATGTACGCGTTAAGATTAATGTTCCTGTTAAAACCAATCAACCCTTACTACAGAAGCGTTGTGGATTCAAGTTCGAGAGGATATTTATGGCCAGCTGTGAGAAATGCCAGTTATTATCGTCTATATTTTGACACTTAAACTTTATATTCGTAACTTTTTAAAGACATACATACATAACATGTAATTTAAAACATTTCTAAATATTTACAACTAGAAGGCGAGGGTAGTTCTATGTACATGTGGTCCTTTTTTTCTAATTAGGCCTTAATTAAATGGGGTTTATATAATGCGATAAAAATTAGTAACAATTTTGAAAGATATTTTATTAGTGCTGTATTAACGTAATATGCTCAATAATTTTACTGGAACACGTTGTCCTGATTCAAAAATGGTTTCTTGTTTTTAATTGATAGATGTAGTTACAATTCACTTTAAAACATAATTTTTGACAAGTCGGATCTTTCGGTAACAATTTTTGTACACACTACTACACAGTTTGAAAATATAAACAATTTAATAAAAAAAAAAAAAGAAAATAAAGATAAATACACATCTTCTATAAGTAGTAATTATTTTGAATCTTTTAACTGCTTTTTTAATTTTATTTGACGACTTAAAATGCGCATGGGCGCCGCCAGAATTAGGAATTATATTATTTATAAATATTTATGATATATATCATATAACTAATTTTGGCTATTAATTATATATATATATTTATTTAAGCTGAAATCATCAGTAAATATTCACATTTATTTATATTTTTCAGTATTTATATTAAAATTGGTAAAATAATACAGGTAAATAATAATACGACTTCAAAGGTACTCTAAATACCTTTGAAGATGCATTGAATTAATAAAAAGTATATATTATGTTTATGTTCCTTTCGATCTGAGCCGACGGCGCCCATCTGTGTTTGACTAGATATTACGCTAAGTTGATGTTGACGCCAACCCCCGACATGAAATCTTCTCTTATCAGCGGTAATAGAGCCGGGTGTCTGGAAAAATAATTATTATGAGCCTAATCCATTACTAACATTAACGATATGTCTACAAAGTTATATGTCGTGACCGAAGTCGACGTTCCTTCCAACAATGTCATAATTTTAATGTACCAGTATCGAATTTATAGATTTCTCCTATTAATCCGTTTATTGCCTGAATTAAGTTATCTCAGTTACTTTATAAATTAGCTTTTAATTTGATGGGAACTTTAAAGATGTAGCCATTACTTTATATTCCCGATGTTCAGGAATTGTCCAAAACGAATCAAATCTTTTATTCCACATATGAACAAAAAAGATACAATTGTATAAATAGTAAAATAAATGTATGTGGAGGGACACAGCTTTTGTTGTACCTGAAAGTAAGCAAAACGTGGTTTGTCAGTGATGCCCCAGGCGTGATATTTGAAGTAGAACAGTACATAACTGACATAACACAAAATGTTTACATTCGACAAAACGATAAGTAAGAACAAATACATTAATTAATTTTTTTAAATGTTTTCCTGTGTAATAGAGGCGGATACATTTAAGTGTCTGTTTTATTTACAGATAATTATTAGATTAGGCGCAGGCTGATTTAATTTGATCTTTCTCCAGATTTAATTGGAATCAGTCAAATATCCAACTAACATTAACTTATATAGTGGCCGTTAGAGGCAGAGTAGCCTAACTGCAGTTTTATACTTGAGTTATTTAAATTTTCATAGTCTAAACATGTCAATCTACAAGAGCATGCATAATTCTCTCACAAATAATAGTACAAATTAATTTTCGCCCAAGTAACTGCGCACTTTCATTTTACTCCTTATTAAAAATCTTGTTTTTTGTTATTAGACCACTCTACCTCATATTATCTATATAGTTATTAACCAGCTGAAAATTGCAATGCTTTTAAAATATTATATTTTTAAAGCATCGCTTATATTTTAAATATGACGTTTAATCAACTGTGAGTGACCAGCACAAACAAGCCAAGTGCACTTTATAAAATTAAACTCTTATATCTCTCCTTTATTATTTAAACGATTCTCTAGAGTAAATCCCTGGTAATTTACTCGACATTAAATAATATGCTTTCTAGGAAAGACGGTAAATCTCGCGATACTATTTTCTCTATAAACCATGTCGTGCTTTGCATACAGAGTGTTTTGCATTGAGTGTGAAAACTTCGCTATGAACAAGCTGAAACTTACCTCTTCTTTAAAAAGATGAATTATAAGGATATTGAAAATCAATGGAGGTATCCCCTAACTTTTTCTATATATATAAAATATGATATATTTTTATTTATGAGAGCTTGCAATACAAACACAATTCACATATATAAAAAGTATAAGAAAACAATAAATATTATTTTTCCATGATAGCATAAGTAAGTTAAAAACATAGAGGAGAGGAAGTAAAGGAGTGATTATTTGTCAGTTTAAAATAGAGGAAAATTAGCAGCACAGTTGTCGAATCAAATAAGTGTTGCCAATACTCACTACACATATAAACACTTTTCACAAACAAACACATTGATGAAAAAAGTAACTTACCAAACATGTTGACTTCGATGGAAACATTAAGACAAATATACCAACTTACCTGTAAGACACTTTTAACATTCTCTCATATCGTAGCTATTACGTACGCAAGGCCAAATTTCACTAAGGAGTAATTAGGTCGGTACATATATTTGTAGAGGTTGGAGTTGTCATTCGATACTGACATACTTGACATTGACATTGACAGCTGCCAGTGAATCAAGTCATCTCATTAATTTTAGATTACTTACTCGTGCTTGTGCGTGGCTGCCCGAGCACGCGCCAAAAGTGACATAACAGCTCGTTTAGTCGGTGAGATGGCGTTCCGTGCGCCACCCAGCAATGGCCGTTTGCGGGTGCTCGCTCCACCCGAACCAACACCTAGTTAAAACATAAATTAATATAAGACTTTTATATTGCAAAGCTTGGGTTTTCATACTTAGTTTCGTTTCGAAAAATGCTTAATATATGCCATTTCGTCATTAAGTAGCGTCGAAAACCATTTCCGACTTACGACGGTCGAACAACTCGAAAACCTTAAGCTTTACTTAATCAAAACTTATATAATATTTATGAAGATATGTATAACTGAAATTATGCTTCCAAATAAGTATTTTCTGAATCAATATGTAAATAAAATAAAAAAGCCTTTATTTCCTTTAAATGACTGTTAACGTTTTTTAACTTAATCTAGCCAGATTGCTGGCTCGCAATGGGCGAAAACGGCCCAAAACCGGGAAGCATGGACAACTTTAGAGGAGGCCTACACCCAAGAGGGTTCCTAATGACCTAAAAATACTTTTTAAATCATCTTAAATAATATTTGTACTTAAATAATACAAGCTCGTCCAAACTAGATTAAGTTAAAAGAATAATAGTGTAGTATATAGTAATTTTTCATATAAGATCAAATCAAGATTTATCTTGGCTTTGCTATTGTAATAAGGATTACAAAAATGATTGCGTTTTAATTGTAAATAAGTATAGAAGAAAACAAAAGGTAAGCAAACCTAATTTATATTTTTTCAAAATTTATTTAAAAGCTTACACAGTGTTAGTAAACTATCTAAATCACATTCTGATATATATATGTAATTAATGACATTGATATTCATAAACTCAAATTTGCCGAGCTTCGCGCGTTTACAAGCTGTGGGTCTGTTAAAAGATTGTGTTATTAAAAGGATGTAATGTTAATGAACATTAAATGTCATTTTTTTTTCAGGTAAGATTTTTTCGAAGGTAAGATTCAATTCAATTCAAATTGAACTCAACCAATATATTTCAATTTTTAAACTTTCATAATTCAACGAGTATATTAAAATAAACTCCCAAAAATAACCGTAGCTATTCCAGCTTTTAAAATAAAACGTACCTTTGAAAGTAGCGTATGTTTTAAAAGAAACTGAAATCCGTGAACGTAAGCGGATTTGAGAGGGCATTCCTCGTCTAGTAAGATTAGAGAAGTGAAATCAATACCTTTTCTAGTGAATACGGTACTTACTTGCACTTCCTGAAGATTTAAATAATTAAGTACATACTTTCGTATTTATTTACTGTTTGATATTAGGTTTTAGCAAGATGTTTTGTAGAAAAAAGTATTACCCAAAACACTTCAACGACATACTTTGAAAACGAGACAATCATTCATTCCAAACCGTTAAAACTGGTTTATTTGAGTAATAATTAAACAATACTTCTAAGTAAAACAATTTAAATGTAAATAAAGAACACGCGATGGTAGCTAAAATTAAGACGGATGTAGTCTACATTTAAGTTAAAAGTAATATTGTTTAAAATACATACCTAATTTAAATACTTTGTTTACTGTGCTTCCCACTGCCAAGATGTACTTAGACCGACTTACTTTGAGAACGTACATGTTGAAGATGATCAAATCAGCAACGAGCGATTAGAGTAACATATAAACGTACCTTGTTGCTAAAACTGCTCGAACAAGTTCGAGCAATTATGAGGAAGACGGCTAAATGCTCATGCATATTTTAAATTAAAAATCGATTAGAAATTGAAAAAAATAGATACGACTCGGGCAGGACTTGAACCGGCCGGCATCCACTGCGTTCCGTGTTGTTACTCTAACCAAAGACTTGGTAGCTCAATTGGTTAGAGCAACAGCACAGAATGGATGCCGGTTCAAGTCCTGCCCGGGTCGTAAAATTCATAAATTTATAATCGATTTTTAATTTATATAATAACATGTAAAAAATTTTAAAGTTTTAAAACATGCATATTGTGTTAAATAAGATCGACGTACCGACCTTGTGTTGCAAGCGCGTGTACAGCGGTTGGTTTGACACCACGAAGAGCGGGGTGTGTGTGTAACACACCGCCTAGAACTGGGCTGCTCAGGCCAAGTATATCGCCAGCACCTGTATTAGTTTGTTAGTTCAGAGGCAAAGATTCAATGAGTAAATTGTAAAGTTTCAAATATTAGTAAAAATAAATTAGTATTAAGTTTTAAAATAGATAACTCGCCTGCAACTCTCTTAACATTATTATTAATTAATATTAAAAAAACATAATTTCAAGGCTATTCGAAATTCGCGGGGGGAGAAACCGCGTAGTTAAAATAAAATGTAAATAAGTCGAATAACTTTCGCATTTTAAATCGTTAAAAGTGTTTTATTTAAATGTACTACAGACACATATGTAAAAAATCGCACCATCGTGACCACTTTAAAAATTATTTAAACAAATCACAAAAATATACACTAATTTAAAATTCGTTCTTAAATAAGAGCTAACCAAACCTACAAAGGCAACTTTTCGCATATGAAAAGTATTTATTAAAGTGAAGGGAAAATTGTGTATTAGCATAATTACACGCTTTGCAAGTATTCGTACCGGGGAAGATATAATTTCATAATACAGTACCACCTACCAGTCTACGGTATGAAGGTTGAAGGAATAATTCTCGTATTTTAATAGACTCGCTACATTTGTAGAATGGTAACTACGGACTATTTTTTTTTATAATTTTTAGATAATTTGTGAGACTAAGCCAAAATTTTACTAAATGACAAAATTTCATTACGCAAAACCGTTTATTTGTCGGAGCAAGTTTTATTTAAAGCAAGGGATATTAAACGTCATATCTATACTAACATTATAAAACTGAAGAGTTTGTTTGAACACACGAATCTTAGGAACTACTTATTGAAAATAAAACATATTTTCGTTTTGTTTAGAAAATTTATCCAATAAGGCTTCCAAATATCAGGTGAGAGCTAGTGGGAAATGTGAAAAACAAATGGAGAAAATTATTCCACTTTGAGGGCTTTTCTCATTGCGAGCGCTGAAACGGTTTAAAAATCCCAAAACATATGTATGAAATCACAAATGATTTTTCAATTCAAATCAGTAGTTTCTGGCATAAGCGCGTTCACACAAACAAACAAACTCTTCAGCTTATATATAAGTATAGACGATTTACTTGGTTATTATTAGTGACAAGTGATATAATTTGGAAGACCTAATTAACTAAATACGATGCACCATAGAGACGGAGAAAGTTTCTAAAGAGTAGAAACTTACTCCAAGGAACGAAAATAACATACCAAGTGGGTTATTTTCGTTGAGCAATAATTAAATTAGTAGTACTCCTTAAAATATGATTTACTTTAAATTAAAATGTGTTAAATCAGTGTTATATTACTGGTAATATGGTATATTTAAAAAATCTTACCTAGTATAGAGTTTTGTGTTAGCAAATGATGTGTTGGCGGCTGTTGAAGAAGACCTCCTCCAACAAGTAAGCCGTGACTCGCTGGACTTGTCAACTGTAACATATATTATTAAGGTTGTCAAACAGCATTTTTTCAAAATAATAATTGTATAAGATTAAAGCCAATGCCTAAATAATATATAGTATTTCTCTTCATGTCTACTTATATACCACTGAAAAGACTTCTACAGTCTTGTGGTGCATAGCAAATTGATTTGCTTTAATAAACATTAACGATTATAACTTAGGACGATATAAATTAACGATATACCCCTATAACCATATCTTTGAAAAATATAAGCAGTAAAGAAAATAAGTAAAATAATTATTTTTATAGCGTATTGTCTTTCGGGCTGTTCGGCCGACGTGAGCGAGAAGAGGTTCTCGATGTTTGCCATCGGACGGCATCATCAGGAGCTGTCAGCTCCTCGATTGTTCGAAAATCATAATTCTTCTCGTGGTGGCGAAACGTCGACCGAACAACCCAATAAACAATGATAAGCTAAACGATGGCTGTGAAAGACTTACACTTGTTAATTATTTCTATAGTTTTTAATTGTACTGTTATTAGTCCTATTCCATTTTGTAGACTTATATAAGTTCCAGCTACGCGGAAACAGGGGATAAGGGGCCCGCTCTTTCTTATGTACTGGGTCCACTTAGCTAAGCTACTGTGTTTATCTTAAAAGTCTATATAAATGAACGACTTATAGAGGTATCTTTTACGCGTATTATACTAACAAATTGGTATTTAATAAGTAAGTATATATTAATAGTTATACCACGACGGAGGACGACAGATAACTATATAACATCTAAGATGCGCTGTTGATCTATTTAGGTTTTGCGGTTGTAATAAGAACGACATTCATAAAAACAAAAAGTGAGCGAACTTAATTTATAGGTTTACGTAGTATATTTTAATATCATAGTGTTAGTTACTATATAAACACATTCTATTATATTTATATACTTAGTCCCTTGTCAACCTAGCTACGCTACTGTATATGTTTGTTTGTGTGTACTGTTTTAGTTGTTATTTCGTCGTCATGACAATAGAATGCTACATCTCGCTTTAAGTAACAAACTACCTGACCTGTAATCCGCCAACTAATAAACTATTAAGTTACGAAGTCTTTTATGGTATTACCTAAAAGTGACCGCATTCAAAGGAAATGCCCTCAATCCCATGTACTTAAAACTAAAGGTCAACCAACTGAATATTTATGGCCAATTGCGGCGAATCAATATCTATAAGAAGGAAGGGTCTCTAATGCTAGAATCGATAACTATTATAACCTTTGATTGGGACGTTTGGTAAGGGTCCGAGCGTTTGCCAAAGGGATAGAAGGAGGCTGAAGGAGGATTTCTTAAGCCTAATTAGGCTGTTGTCCCCTATAGACGTGAGTCATGGCGTTCAATCCGTATATACAACTCGTGAAAGACGTTTCAAGAATATCACGTTGTATATAAACATACATATAACATTTTAAAGTTAAATTTCAGTTTTACAATAGTTAGAACTAGAACTACGTTCCTTATATCGAGGCTATGGCGTATATATGTTAGCGTTAGAAAGAGACAACGATACTATTGCTGTCTTCTCACTTAGTTTTTACTACTCAGATTTCAGTTGTCTAGCATAAAGATGTGTTATGTCATATATTATTTAAGAATACAGCTATAGATAAGAACGCCCGAATTTTTTTTACATTACTTCAATGTCATTCAAAATTTGTTTATAAACAACTCTTTTGACTCTAAATACTTAAAACAGTCATATCGCCTAAAAGTTTTCATTTTTAATGAAAGTATGACAGAAGCTAAAGAAACATGCTTTATTCGATGTAAGGCGAAATTAGCCTAAAACATCGATTAGGATACGCTATCAACGTATATTGGCTTTGGACATTCAGATTTCTTCTTTTGTACGTGAATGTACATTGTTACATTTATATTCAAACGCAGTATTGAATTTAAATCTCTTTCATTAGAAAGGGTGAGAAAAGCAATAACAATTTATCATTCTAATAAAAATTCTATACAGTTCAACTAACATAGGTTTTCGAGCTGTTCGTTCGTGGTAATCGAGAAATAGGTCTTCGCGATTAGTATCAATAGAAGATTTTGAGTATTATTCGACTTTGTGAGTTAGGGTGGCTGAACAGCTATAACACCTAGTCTATCTAGTTTCGAGAATGGCAGTGAAATTCTTATTCAGTTTATAACCATCCAGTTTTTGGTTTTAACAAAGTTTTGGATAATGATAACTAAAATAACTCGTAAAACATGTAAAAAAAGTCAAACAGAACTTACTAGTGGTCTTTGTGTTTTATAGAAGTCGTTGACAGACTTTTGTGTCAATCAACAAAAACTATGCTAAGGTTTATCAAGTTTAATACTTTGTTACGCAACGTGTTTGACTACCACTGAGTCACAGAGACGATGAATGTTGAAAATTGAAATGATTGATACTTTTAAATAAAACACTTTAACGGTTTAAAACGCGATATATTAGTTAAACTTATTTGAAAATGATTTTTAACTTCGGCCCGACGTTTCGGATGCTTTGCAGCAGCCATGGTCACGGGGAGATGATTGATACTACTCGTAGCAGGTATTCAAAGTGTAACAATAGTGTAAGCCCGTTAAATCCCGTCTCCCTCGTGGGGCATGGGGTGAACACGTTTCTGTGTCCATTCCAGTGATCAGATTTATTTACAGGCCAGTAGTTGATCCGACTTCTGTGCTCTGCCGAGACCGAAACAATTTACTGTTTCCCCGGGATTCAAACCCAGGACTTTACACTGCTAGGCAACACGTTTAACCATTTAGCTACAGAGGAGGATTTTAAGCCCATAGTATACATTCAATAAAACATTTATGAAATAATTGAATCGTGTACTTTAATAAATTTACTGTCTCATAGTTCACGTTTCAAGTTGATTTCATCAAAGGTAATCTGATAATAGAACATTTAAACACTCTGAAATTCCACTTCCACGGTGACGTCACTAAACTAACCTAATTAAACGCAACACAGAGCTCGTATCACCGAAAAAGTTCCTCTGAAAATAACAATGTTATGTTTAAATAAAGTAGAACGGAGCTTTTTCAGTGTTCACTCAATGTATTCTAAAAGGAAATTTCAATGAAGCTATTCACTACACTGTGTGGCTAAGCTCGGAATAAAATCACATTCAAAAGAATATTTTATAGCTAGTTTTCTGCTATGACTAGCCATTCTATCAAGCACTTATGTTTAAGTACAGTTTTCATTTGACTCAAAGCTTACTAATAAATCTTCATCCCTTTCATGTGGCGAGATTTATTACTGATTTAGTGAACGAAGAAGAATGTAATCTTAAACGAAACCTATATTTTTCTTTTAATAGGATTTCTTGCCATTCAATTAATTACTTTTTGAATTTATATAAGGACTAGCTGTGTCATCGAGTTCGTCCGCGAAGTATAGATATTTTGGGCAGCAAATATTGTTATTGCGAACCTTCTTCTCAACCCGCGCATCCCGTCATTCTTGCCAATAAAAAAAAAAGATAGTTATTGCCACGAACATTTTTTTTGTTATTTAATAAATAATTAATTCATACACATTTTTGGGTATCTTAAACCGTTTTCGCATCGGAAACCCACAAAGATTAATATTTTTTCCCCGTTTTTCCACATTCAAACAAACAAACTCTTCAGCTTTATATATTAGTATATATAATTTTTGTTTAATATAATTACAATGTTTTCTAAACGACATTTATCAGATAACTATCGAAAATTCATTTGATCTAATACGACTAAACTGTACCTTCGATATTCAATTGATTCGTAGCGATTTACTACGAAATTGTAACGCTACGAAACTGTAGTGGTGCTACGGAATCGTAGCGTGTAGTGCTACGCTTCATTAAAGCCGACGGTAGGACGTTATTACGATGGCGTGGCCGATTGCATTAGTCCAGAATTATCGGAATTGTTCCTTCATCAGTGTTGAGAAAAAGATTATGAGTAAAGCTTTTAACTAAGAGGCATTAAGAATAATATTTGTGAAACTATTGTTACATTAGATTTTTTAAATAGGTCATATTAACCTAAAGCTAAAAATGAAGTTTTAAAACTAAAACGACCTTATTTCTAAAACTTTAATATTTTAAAAATGTAATAACACATAATGACATACTATAAAATCACAGCGTGTAATGCTGGTCCGATTTTCGCCCGTGTCGTTATATTATTTTCAATCCAAATAGATTTTAAATTTTGACGTAGTTGTGTTCTTTACCTTCACAGCATATCAATTATTAAGTGATCCGAGTATTTGGTTAATTAACGAAATTTTTCTGTAGTTTTAAGTGTAATGAATAGATTATAAGCTTAAAATAATGAAAATTTTAATGAAATTTCCAACCAAATTCAAAAATCATGTAGATATAACTTCCACTTAGTAGTAAAACAGGCGTTAATCTCTTTTGGTTCGATGTTATTATTGTTGTCTCTATTGTTTGATAGTTACCTGATGATGGGGCAAATGCTCTGGCGCAGGAGTTGGTGCTGGTGGGGAGAAGTCGCGCGCGCTTGGTGCGTGGTTCACTGGCAGAACTGGAGCACTGGCAAGCGCTGGTTGGCTTACGGAAGGTGCGACGGTTGGTAGCTGTCAATAAAAACCAGTAAAAAAACTAGAGCCTAAGACATTGGGACGAGATGCATATATGGTTTGAAGAAAGTCGATGATGAGGTGACATGGTAGTTCAATTGGTTAGATCAGCAGCATGGGCCGCTGTGAATATCGGTTCGAGTCCCGTGTAGTGAAAACTATCAATCTTCATTGTTTTTTAATTGACATATCATATTATTTAAAATAAAACACTTTAACGGTTTAAAACGCGATATATATTAGTTAAACGTATTTGGGAATAATTTTAACTGCGGCCCGATAATTTCAGGTATATATTTCATGTTTTAAACAATTTTATTTAAATATTACCTTTATAGTTTTTCATGACGTTTGACTATGAGATTTCACGTTTAAAACCGTTAAATAGTTTTCTTTTGTATTATGTAGTGTGTATAACTCTTAAATTACTGACAGTATATTATATTATATATATGAATATTATATTTTTGTTTTAGTATGCGTATATACCCTTTGTTTTGCAGTATCTCGTATTGGCAATGTTTCTTCGCTATTACTTCTAGATGATTCTGGAGGCGTCAGTCTGCGTTGCTCGTTCTGCGATGATAGAATCTGCATTTCTAGCATTTGCTCCTGCCGGATGTCGTCGTTATAGTCCTGAAAACAAGGAATAGTGTTTAGCAAAACAACACTCTATTAATTTCAAATAATGTGGATGGTATCGTTTTATAGTTTTTTTCTTACGGCAAACAACTATATTTAGATTTGAATTATTTAGATTTTAAGTTTCGCACTTCCTGCACGTTCCCCTAATTAAGTTGTTTTACATTATTTTCCTAAGAAGGGTCGCCTGGAAGAGATCGCTTAATAGCGATAAGGCCGCCCGTTACACTCCATACTTTATAGATATTATTATTATTTTTAGTTCATTGTAATTGTGTGCGTGTGTTGTGTAAAAAGTATAAATAAATTAATAAATAAACTATAAAAAACTTTTACATTTTCAAAATGATTCCTCTTTTAAAAAATGTCCGCAACAGTATATGAACAACATATTTTAAACGAACGAAGAGAACGATGGCAGTCGACTTACGTTGTGGGCAACAGCTATAATTCATAAAGATGAGAAGGATGGTTGCAAAAACAAATACTGATGCCCAAAATAACTACGCAGACGAAGTCGCTCAAACAGCTAGTTTATCACGAGACGAGATAGTACATAATGTTTCTCTTCGGCAAATAGTACGTAAAAGCCCAATATTTTGTCAATTCCATTTGTAGGTTAAACAATAACGTATATGATAAAAACATTTGTAAAATATCATAAAATGTATGTTGGGGCGTGCTCCGCTTCTCTAACTGCGGTTGGGGTTCATCTAGGAATAGTGACATGCAGCGTATACTGTCGTTTGTAAGATGACCGACACCGATTACTGTCGGACAGAGACGGAGAGATTTCTATTGACTTAATTACATACTGACATACTGACAGTTATACTATCGCCGACAATTATTTATACAATTATATTTTTATTAATTTATACTTTTTACACACCAGACGCACACAATAACAAAGAACTAAAAATAATATCTATAAAGTATGGATTGTAACGGCCGGCCTTGTCGCTATTAATCGATCTCTTCCAGGCGACCATTCTTAGGAAAATAATGTAAAACAACTTAATTAGGGCAATGTGCAGGAAGTGGGAAAGTTAAAATTTAAATAATTTTACGTATTACTTATAAATGTTAAGTGAGTTGTAAAGTGTAAAATGTTTGTAAAGAAGGTGTTTAAAGTATGAGAGTAAGAGAGCTAAACGCACGGAAATTGGAATACGGTCGCCCACAATTTAAATAAGTCACAACATATGGTGAGTACAAGAGACTAGATAAAATTTCGTACTCATACCGGCACTAAGAACCTTCGTAGTTCTGCCAGAGCATAGGCTATTCGAGCGTGTGCTTCGGCGGGAGTGGCAAACGCGCTGATCTCAACATGAAGTTCTTCGGAGAGATGTGAAAACTTAGGGTCACCCGACATTCGAAGTTCTTCTTCCTGAGGAATATAGAGAAATCTTTTGCATTATACAAAATTTAAACTCGAAACACAGCAACTTTTCTTTCATAAACTTATCACTTTACGAGCGAATATTTTCGAATGGTTTTATATATTTCAATTGTATGTTGAATACTTATTTACAGACTTTATTATATAAAAAGTTATTTAAACTGCTTTTAAAATTATAAGTGGAATAGTAACTAATGTGTAATTTTTTATTCTTTTAGATTCAGCTACGTTAGTAGACAATATTGTTTTATATGTTCCGAATTTGAATACTCGTGAACACGTTGATCTAACGGTAGCATCGGGTCGTGGGTTCGACCCTCGTTGAATCCAACATGTTTCTAATGTTTCAATTTATAATTTTTTTCAAACATATTGGACTTCGTCTGGAAATCTGGATATTAAACGGGAGATATTGCATTCTTTCCAGGACTCGAACCACCGTCGACAGATCGACAGTCGTTTTGGTTAGTCTGGGTGTATCCGAATATCCACAGCCATAATAGGCCCATAGCGCATAGTTGAAATACCGCAGTCACATAATATCTACATAAGATATATTATGATTTATGTGACTGCGGTATTTCACCTTCCATCAAGTGACCGCCATGCTTGTCTGTCCACCTCTATAATTAAATTTATATATAGTCAGTAGTCGCGTGCTTAACGGGCGTTCACTAGTACTTACTGAAATACATATAAAAATACCAACCTTCTGTCTATCTTTCATCGAGCCACGTCCGAGAACGGCCATCTTGCACATTGTGTCCTCTTGTAACCGTTTCAGCGAATTGCCCTTTGGTCCGAGCAATTTTCCCACGAAGTTAAACTAAGGACAAAGTACAAAGATTAAAATCTATCTTGAAAAACAACTTTTACTTAATAAAATCTTTACACACTAATAACGGTTTAAAACGCGTAATATAATATTTAATTCATCTTTATAAATATATGATATGTACCACTCTCATAAACTACAAATATCATATTTCTTTGAAAAAAATTGTACTATCTTCAAAGATTGAATTCTAATATTGCACAATATGTTTGTTGTTCATTGAAATAATTCTCTGCAAAACCAACCTTTACGAATATTGTAAAATTACAAGGCTATATAAATGTATAATGATAATAAAAATTAATTATCATTATAAATTTATATAGCCTTCATTTAACATGTAGTATTAAAAAACAAGATTTTGCTTTATATATTATATGAATTTAATATGTATCTGTAATGTATTTGTATATGGTTTGTAAGATATAGGATAAAATCTAGTCTAGGTCTAGTAATGACGACTCTCTATGACCAACTATATTTTTAATTAGTTGTTTCAGTAATTTATCCAACCAATAATACCATATCATACCAAATCCGTCTACACAAAAAAATCCCTAGAAAATATTTATATGGCGAAGCAACGTTTTCCGGGTCAGTTAATTTATATATTGACTAATTTTTCTGTAACAACAAAGCTTACACATCGGCTTTCGAATAGAGACAATAATTAACGAAATTTGTGGTCCTCCACTAATTGGCGTTTGGGTAAAGTTTGCTTCCACAAACGTGTAGTTAAAGTTGACTTTAAAGTCCGCCATTTTGTTCAACGCGTAATTGGTTTACTATACTTGTTTAATTACTTATTTATTAAATAAACCTTTTAATAGTATAAAAAAGGGAAAGAGGTATCATTTTTACAATTCATTTTAACTGTGGCCCGATTTTTCGGATGCTTTACAGCAGTCATGATCACGGTTTCCCTAAAATATATTGGAAAATGTGGATAATAAATGGGGAATAGAAACATCATAATTCCGTGAGGGTAGGGACACCACACACACATGCGTTTCAGTTTCAGTCTACGTTCCAAAGCCAAAATAGGTCGACAACGCACTTTCAATAAGCGAAATATACTTTTACGTCTTATTCTGTCATGAAAAGTTTGGAATTTGCTAATTTGTTTGTCAATTTAAGCAGGCTTCAAACTTCGTAAATACGAATAGTAGCTTAGATTATTTTGGATTTAGAAGGATTGAGAGTGTTATATACGCAATATTTTCGTGGGACCTTTATCTTCTGAGAAATGAACGTTTCTACCCTCACATAATTTCAAATCGGGACGCCAATATTTCTTACTCGCATAACGAGGCTATAAAGATTTCAAGTGACAAGCCAGACCCGAATGTCGTTCGATTCCGACCTTGCCATTGAATGCTGGGAATTCGCATCCCGGGTCCCGTAGGAGCAGTTTATTTCCCGGGACGCTCCCCCGGGGCGGAATAATTGGCGGTTTATAAGGGTTGCGCGGTAATACTTGACACGTATTCCTGTTTCAAATGGAGAAATGCAGACAGGTTTAAAATTAATACTGTGTAATGGGTATTTAAAATTGAGGGTAGTTGTATTTAATCTAAGTCGTGATTAATCTAAGTCGTAAATAATAAGTTGAGGAACAACTTTGAATTAAATTGATATTTCAAATCACATATTCCGCTAATGATTTTGTTAGTATTAAATAAAATGTTTACTAGAAAAAGTTAGGTACGTACAAAAAAAAGGCAAATTAAAATTACGTTCTTACATATCAAACTTATACAATACATAATATTAAATGAAACACTTTAACGGTTTAAAATGCGGTAAATTTTAGGTAAACTTGTTTGAAAATTATTTTTAATTATGTGGTCACGGGGAGACGGCTGCTGCAAAGCATCCGAAACGTCGGGCCGTAGTTAAAAATAATTTTCAAACATGTTTAACTAAAATATATCGCGTTTTAAACCCATATAGTGTTTTATTTAAATGTGTACTCCTCGCGTGAACTACAGACAGTATTCAATACATACCTTCTTTTATAACAATTATTACTTATCAATATGTATATATATATATATATATATATAATACCTACATTCACGTACGTAAACGTTTCGTTATTACAAATTAAATTTGGCGACCTTTCAACAATCTTATTCAAAAAACTACTAGTAATTTCTTTTCCAACCTTACCTATATTACTTATTGTATATTAATTAAACTGTAAATTAATTAATTTGAAAATAAAACTTTAATCCATGTTTGTTAAAAACTAGCTTCTACACTTTCTTATCATGTCAGTACTTTATGAAATTAATTTTACTAATAAACAGGAACTTTTTCTTCCTTCGTGAAACAGCTATACGAAAATAATATCTAAAAATTTAGTAACTAGTTTTAAAACTTAAAACGTGCTTCATTTCAACTCGAAAACTTCGTTTTCCATATGTCAACTACTTTTTATTCTAAAAGAATTTTAATTTAATTTGACCTTCCTAAAGACATTTATTTTTGGCTTGGTTAATTGATCATAAAGTCGAATCTTCTAGAAGATTTAAAACATAAGGAGAAACTTCAGATAATCTTTTAAGCCTCGAAACGGGTCCAACATAAGAAAGTGAGACGTAACTAAAGTACCTCCGTCACATGTCAACGGAGTAAAGATAACATTTGCAGACGACAGCAGCCGTTACTCCAAATTCAATCTATTAGGGACTCTACACACTTTTACGTTACGAGTTTCAATTCGTGTGAGAAAGGAAATGTTGATTATACTTATAGAAAAAATTACATTATAATTATTGATCATATAAGTCTGCACTTTACATGAGTAGTACGCATAAAAAAATACTTTAAACCGTTTGAAACGCGAATTGAATTAGTGAAGTTATTACTCTCCATGACCACGATTGTTACAAAGCATACTTAACGATGACTTGAAATAAATTGTAAATACATTAAGTAATATATTTCCTCTTTTAAACCGTTAAAATTATTTCATTTATCCATTTTATTTATCCATGTTCTTAACTAATAATTAAAAACTAATTACAAATAATTTGAGGAATTAAAAATTACCACTCTGATTATGTATGCAAAGAAGAAGAAAAAAAATGTTGTATAAATATTAATATAAAAATTCGCGCAATTTGTTGTAATAATAAAACGCCGGAGAACGTGTCTATACGGACAGGTATAAAAATTATATTATTTCAAGATTTCTCCGGATTTCGTTTATCCGAATAGATGTATCGAGTGCCACGTCACGTTTGGGCACACCCCAAGTAATATTCCGTGAAATGTTTTGTTTTGCTTGGCAAAACTGTCTCAACTATTATTGGTACAGGTGCATTTGTGCGCTAAGTTGTTCTTTTAGCTGTCACAGCTGAGTTTTATAGTTTTCGCTTTATCTGCGCGATCTCAATATATTCTGTACAAGTCTTGAATAAGAAAAACAAAACATTTTTAAGGTTTTTTTGTTTCTCCAGAGTTTAATAAATAACACAAGTGAATTAATATACGTACTTATTATAAAAAAATCCCAAAATGCTATTACTAGTAAATTACTATTTAACAAGACCCGACGTTTCGGACAGTTTAACTTGTTTTCAAAACCTTCACATTAAAAAAAATAACGACACCAGCTCCTGCCGGTTTTTGTAGCTTGGTTCAAGTCCTCTTGAACCAAGCTAAAAAAACACTTTACAATTACATTTGAGCTGTAGGCCACGGTAGCTCAATTGGTTAGAGCAACAGCACGGAATGCTGTAGATGGCGGTTCAAGTCATGCTCATGATGTAATTTTTTAAATTTATAACCGATTTCTGATTTAATATCGTGAATCTTTATTTATAACTTGATTTATTACAGTATGGTAAGTCATCTAGTATACGAGTGTAGTATAGCTTTATAGTAAAGTATACTTTTCTCTACCATTGATTCTAGGTTAAGAATTTATTTTATTTTCCGAGTACTTTAAGGACGAATGGGTTAGGACTGAGAAATACTTACTTTAGGATGATCTCTAACTGGCACGACGACACGGACGCAAACTTTGACTGGTTTATCCCTCGTGATGTCCAGCATTCTTCTTTCGCCACGCCATTCACCTAAAAAGAAAAAAAAAGAAAATTATGTTGGTTTCTTATACAAAATGTTATGAAAATCTTCTATATATATAATTATTACATATTTCTCATGTAAATTATTTAAAATATTCATTTTAAATTTGTTAATACGTCTATAAGCAAGTTTGAATTGTAAAAGGCTTTTGCTTTTTGTAAAGTTACTTTAGTTTTAGAATTATTTATTGACATTATATGCTGATGATGTTATCCATCCGTGATCGTGAAATGCCAAGAAATCAAAAATAGGTCGACAGCATATCGTCTTTAAATGTTATTATGTCTGGGGTAAATACCTCACCTTCATGAAGTGAAGCTCATGCTTCTCTGTCATAAAAAATACGACAGCCGAACAGCTCGAAAACCGTAGGAAACAATTAAAATATTTATAATACTTTAAGATTTCAAATCGCTTTTTTCCAAAGTTCCGTACGTGTTCGTAAGCGTTTCGATTTTAAAATGTAAATTGTTTAAAATATATATATTTAAAATTGATTATAATGCTACGAAATTATTATTAAATTATATTAACATCATTCAATTATCTGCGAGGATAAGGGAATTTCTTAACTCAATAATGTTTTATGATGGAAGAGACCGTATATAACTTGTTTAGCTTTGCATTTATTGCTTTATACCGACCATGAGTGAGCACGTTCCAAGGATATGCCGGTAAGTACCGGGAACGCCTCCAAAATTAATAGACTATAGACATGATCTGTTGTCTATTCCGGAGTTAAGACGTTGGGATTGTGCCAAATATATTTATTTCCGCTTAACGTATTAAAGACGCATTTAAGGACGAAGAATAGTGCATTTTATTAAATATTTTTACGTGTAATTAGATAGACAATATTAACAGATGAATACGAAAACAGATTTTTTAAGATGTGTAAATATTTTTGTGATTGGACTAGTTTTGTTTGCCAATAGCAACATAAATACTAGCTGTGTCGGCGACTTCGTTCGCGTAGAATAGTTGTTTTGGGCATCCAAATTTATTTTTGCAAACCTCTTTCTTCAATCTTTATTAATTTAAGCTGCCTACGATAACGGTCGCGTCCCGTCGCTCGCGACCTGGCGTTCTTGCAAGTTAATGTTAAAAGATAGACATATAGTGTCGCAGAGTTTTTTTTTAGATCATTTAACACTCAGAGATAAATGTATCTTAGCTCCTATTAGTCACAATGTTTCACAACCAACACAAAAATAATTTTTCGATTCGAATCCGTAGTTCCTGAATTAGCGCGTTCAATCAAACAAACTCTTCAGCTTTATAATATTAGTATAGATATAGATTTGTCAGCTAATAAGTGATCAGTAAAAACGTCTTTCTTTCCCAACTAATAACACATTAATATTAAACTATTAAATTATCTGCATTCGTTAGTGACGAACCTCACTTTCTTTTCTTTTCAATGTTTCAGTTAAAATTTGACTTTAGGTAAATTTGCCTGAAATCAACGGAACATAAAGCTTTCTTACTTCCAAACTGGTTTGTTATTAAAAAGTAATGCGTTTTGCGTAAACAAGTGGTCGCCAACAGCGTCTGGCAACACAACTTGTTATTTTGGATGTTCGCCAAAACATATCAGACGTGTTTATTAGTGTTAAATGCTAAGCGAAGCATAATGGAACACTTAATTTCGTTACTTGATACATTTTGTTCACTGTTTCTTAGCTCGTATTGGCCGCAGCCTGGTGTTTTATTGCCTGTAGCTCAACTCGATACCAACCAACACAAAAAAATTTCAATTCTTACTAGTAGTTTATGACATTAGCGCAACAAACAAAAATTATAAGATTAGTATAGATTTCACTGAGTCAAACGAAACCAATGGAGGAACTTACGCGTAAGTATTGCCAACTAGTTCACGAGTGAGATACACGTGAAATTAAATAATTTCACTGGTTTTAATGCGAAATCACGAATCATATATTATAATTTATTTTTTAATATGAAGTTTATGAACCCATATAATATTTCGCTTTTAAAGGCGTCAAATCAATATTTAATTTCAACGTCAACTCTAAACACAATAACTCAACTTCAATAAAATCCATTAGTTATCGGTGAAAATGGGCCGTATTTTTTTTAATGATAGAGCCTATAGCACCTAAACCAGTTGCGCTATTGACCTATTTTGGCTTTGAGTATTAGGACAGTCTAAAACCGAAACGTGTTTAAACCTCACAGCTTTTTTATGTAGCATAACTGTGGTTCCCGGACGGAATTTCCAGATTTCGAGACGAAATCTAACATGTTTCAGAAAAATTATATATCGATTGGGAAAATCTTAAACTCAGTGGGGATCCAACCCACGACCCGTTGGTTTACTACCATTACACCAACGAGCCCGTCAAAATTGTATTTACTAACCTATTAAGGATCCTAGGGTAACAGCAGAACATGCAAGATTTTTGAAGATGCACAAATTAGAATCCATCTAGTTCGTACCAGGTGCAAGTTCGGACATTGACAAAAAGTCTAGTTAAACCCGGCGCAGTTTTGATTGTGGCTTTGCAAACGTTTCCCAATGTTGGGACGCAGTCGACCAAGGGGATTAAAGGCTTAATCTACCATGCCATGCGTTGTACGGCTAACAAAATACACCGCAGATTTGGTTTGTACTTTTAGTGAATAAGTACATAAAAAGTGTTAACTTTTAAGGCACTGTCTGACTGTTTTAACAAAGCCTTTCTTATCAATGCGTTGTTTACTTACCTAATTAGTTCGCTAAAAACAATTATAGAAAGCAAAAAAACAATATCGATTTTTTCATATTCTTTAATGGAGATCATTTTCTTCTAAAGCTGTCTAATTATTGATACTGGTTGATTTCAATGTAGTTAACGCGACTATTAGATATTAGACGCGTAGACTACAGACGAAACTTATTTCAAACTACGTCCAGATGCTTCGGATACAACAGCCGTGGTCACGAAGGACCCTCCTTTGTAGTTAAAATAATTTTCTAAACAAGTATATCTATAATGTAAGTATAATAGATTTTGCCTTTAAATTGTTAAAAAGTTTGTTATCTTGGTTGATTCAATTTACAAGCATGTAGATATCTGCGCCCCGCACTATCGTTTGTCAGAAATTAACCTTTTCGGTCGTTTTATTTAATCGTTTCCACTAAGTGCAAAGCAGAAATACTAGTTTTTAATTTCTCTCTGCCCAATTGAAGCTGTTTTTACTCCGACATTTTTGAACAAACAACTACAGGTTGTTATCGTACAGAATTTTCAATTATAAAAGAGAAACTTGGCTTCAACAGAGTCTGTGAAGTCCATAGATAATATGGTAAACCAGATAACGTTTATTTGACTTGACCTCGTGCACCGCAAATAGTTTGTGTAACAGCTTGATCACTGAGCCTTGCCAAATCAAATATTTAAGCGCCAGTTTAGGAGCAGCTGCACGTGGAAATTAAGTTTTCACTGAAACTTTTCTAATTGTGAAAGTTTCGGCTATACATTCCAATTTTCATTTTTTTTGTTTTAAATAGCTAATTTAATAAATACTATATACTAGGTGATCCGGCTAACGTCTTTTTTATGATCGACAACTCAATCGGTCTACTTAATGGTAGGTCAGATACCCTTGATCTAACATCTAACTAAACAAGATGAAACACTGTCTATAGTTTACGCGATATACAATTTAAAAAAACACTTTGACGTTTAAAAGCGATATATTAGTTAAACTTATTTGAAAATGATTTTTAACGTCGGGCCGAAGTTAAAAATCATTTTCAAATAAGTTTAACTAATATATGGGTTTTAAACCGTCAAAGTGTTTTATTTAAATTTAAACAAGATAGCTATCAAAGATCCACAGACGAAAAGCGATTACACTTCATGACTTTATCATCGGTGTACGGTGATTTGTAATAGGCGAAGTCCAACACGTTTTAGAATTTTTTTATAAATTGCTTAGAAATGTGTTAGACCCGGCGGGGATCAAACACATGACTCGTTATTATATTAGCTACATGCTACCATTACATTAACGATCTTCTTAAAAACCATTTGCGAAAAAACATGATTGTGATAGAACAAAAAAAAAGTAAATGAAATTTTCATCGGGATTCAAACCTAACCTCAGCACCTTCATTCACAATCAACCGCAACTAAGATAAAGAGATTTTTCTTCATATCTAATTTTAAGGGTGATTTAAATAAGGTTGTAAGTCTCTTACCTAAAGTCATTCTGGTTTTAATTGAACTGTGGGTAAATAAGTAAATAAACGCACTGAACTGTGAAATTCAATTATCACCGATTCGACCTGGAAAGTGATTTAGTATTGATTGGGGTTTGTGGTTTCTGGTCACAATTGTCATTATAGATATTTCTCTTTGAGTTGGTATTATTGTGAATATTCGCGAGATTGCGTTAGACTCACCGAAATGAAAACACAGCGTCCGTCTATACTCACAAAGTTTAACAAATAACATATTTTCATAAATCACGTAACGGTATCATCGTTAATTATATTAGTTAAACTTATTCCATCCGTTACCACGACTGCTGCACAGTACCTTAAACGACGAATGACGTTGGGCCGTCATTAAAATAAATTATTTAGTTCGCGATTTATACCGTTCAAAGTGGTTCATTTACATGTTTAATCGAATTACATCAATAGATAAATTATATATTGTTACAGTATGATCTAAATTATTATGACATGAAATAAGTAAAACAGGTTGCACTGTGTAAAATGGCAACTTTAATTTAAAAATCGAAAATAAATTGAAAAAAATTTCGACTCGGGCAGGACTTGAACCGGCATCGTCAGCTTTCCGTGCTGTTGCTCTACCAATTGAGCTATCGAGTCTGTTACACCTCCTTTAGTCCTGCCCGAGTCGAAAATTTTTTCAATTTATTTTCGATTTTTAAATTATATAGTGCCTTCATGTGCAATAACATGTGAAAAATATTAATGTTTTCAAATGGCAACTTTAATTTAAAAGGTCTA